TCGTGCCGCAAACTGGACTGTGCACACGAGGCAGGAAGAATTTAAACGAGCCTGTTAAAATGTCGTGTTTGAATTGTATTGTGACCTCGATTCGTGATTATTCATGTAATCATTTAAAAAAGAGCTGGGTGGGAAGCGTAGGGGGAGGGGGGGCAAGGGAGAGTGAACAGTTACATTCCGAGCAATTAACCAATTACTGTGTCCGGCTTTATAATTCGTCCCTGCAGAACATCATTCCAAACAAGATGCACACTCTGGCCTGGAGGGCTCTCGCATGTGACCTCCTACTGCCTGGGTTTGTTCGCGGTTGTGCTTTCTGTGCAGCTCTCCCTCGTATTGTTGGGTTGTGCCACCTTGCGATGTCCAACACAAGTCTTGACGTTTCGCTCGACGAGCCAAGAGCTTTCTCAGGAACTGAAGTGAAGAAGATCTCAGCAGGTGGGGTGAAATGTCGCTCGTCATCGGAGAGCTATGTGAGCCGCTCTTCCGAAAGTCGGCAGAGGCCGGGCACAGGTGGTTCTGCGCACAACCTACTTTCTACCTCTGACAAACTGTAATGAGTACAAATTCAATTCTTCTCCTGATAGGTGATATTACAGGTTCATATCCTAAATCGCTCAACCACTTGAATTGCCAAGTCAACGAGATCAGCCTTTCCATTCCACATTCTAGCCGCCATAAGGGGCAGTCCCTGACAACGTGTACATTATATACATGGGGCGGTGGGGGGGGGGACGTGGTGATCCAGTGGTTAGCACAGCTGCTCCGTGAACCCGCGGATCTGAGTTTGGTTCCTGGTCACGGCCAGTGAGCTAATTCTTGGCCACGGCCACACATCAGTGGCGACTGATATCAGAACCGCATCACCGTCCCGCACTGACCAATATGGTGAAGTATGGTCAAAAACCCTCATCACTTAAATGGCCCGTGAAGGCCTTAATCCGTTTGTGGATTTAGAATGCCCATTGTTATGATTTGGTTAGACCAGAGGGCTACATTCTCTTTTCGTAGTGACGGTGGTGGCGGTGGACAGGGTGGGATGGAGAGGCAGCCTCGTGCGTTTTCGCTGTGCGTAAGCAGGGATGACGACACGTCCTGGAAGCTGGCCAGGCCGTGTTGTTTGTCGCCCACTTAGGCTAATTGCTTGTCTCGATGACGCCGGTGAGTTTTCCGGGGGACCGTGCCTGGCACGACCGGGAACGTTCGCGCGGAGAGATGGATTTACGGTCGGTACAGCCTGTTCGTATTATAAGTCTTAAGGCATGATGGAGTCGCCCTGGAGTCACCCCGAGTCGCCGCGGAGTCACGCTGGAGTCCAGCTGGGTGACACGATCGTGGGGTTTTAGAGGGCGTTCTCAGGAGAGCTCACAGCAGTGCCGTGTACTTAGGTTAGTGAACCCATGAGGCCACAGCAGGCAGTGCATTGAGGTCCACGTGAGAGGTCACAGGGGTGCGATAAGGTCGTGATGCGACAATGAGGTCTAGGCGGCTGCATTGTTTGCGTGGCAGGAGCCGAGGTTACACCCCACCCAAGTTTCAACTCTCACCCGACCCTTCTTCCCCTCCCGCCACCGGTAACGCCACCATTGTTCATCGCACCCGTAAACGTGACGCACCTCTAAGTGACCGTCTGTGTTCTATGGGAACGCCCAACCCTGAGAACTCTAAATTAAGGCACAGCGGTAAACAGCAGCAGTAGCAGCGGGGCAGCTGAGGGTTACACTGTCAAACACAAGGTGTGACCCGCTTTTTGTCTTCAGAGGGTAGAGAGACAACATGGGGAGGAGGAGGGCCTCGGGAGATGCTGTGGAAGCGTTTCCATTTCTTCTCCTCTCCGATTCTCTCGAGAGTGACAGGTGCTTCCTGGCACGGTCGGCGCATCGCCGAGTGAGGGCAAGCAAAAGAGAGAGGGACGAGAGAGCAAGATCGACACGGAGAGATAAGAGTGAACAAAAGATAGCGATGGAGAGCAAGAGGGGGAGATGTAGAGAGTGAGAGAGTGAGACCGCGAGAGAATCAGACCCAGAGCAGGGTCTCCCTCCCTTGTAGGCCCCGTTGAACCGCGCCTGGCGTGTGGGGCGACAGTAACGCCACGGGGTTGTCCCTCGCACACCGCTCCGACGCCAGGGTTCACGGGAGGTGCCGGTCGCCAGTCGAGGTGGAGGGAGGCCTCCCTGGAGCGGGGAGTGGGGAGGGGGCTTGCGCTGTCCTTGGCGTCGGCGAATTGGAGCGACGGGAGCGCGCGTGGCTCGTGGGTCAAACTATGGTGGCACGAGCGCCGTAATTGGGTTGAGGATTGTGCAAGCGCCGCGCGAGTCGCGCCGCGGCCACGATGGTGCATAGGAATTAGTTTTCGTAGTGTGCAACCCGAGGTTAAAGTCACTTGTTAAGCGACTTAATCAGCCACGCGAAGCATGCGCAGTGGCGCGTTCCCGGTAATTACCGACCCGCCCCACTGCTGTGCATAACGTGTACAGACGGCGCTCTTGCCATTAGAAGCCCCGCCGGCGTGATTTGCGAGGAGAGAAATGTTTCTCACACCCATTCAGCCCCCCGTGTTTTCCTGTCTTCAGTTTGTTTGTGTGCGTGTGCTCTCGTGTGTACTTAAAAAAAGATATTACGGACAAAATAAACAGGTCCTGTGGTATGTTGTACCGTGCCACACTGTGATGTGCCGTGACATACTATCACATACTATCACATACCATCAAAGTGAGCAATGTGCCAGGATTCATGGTAGGCGGGGGGGGAAATAGTTCCTATTTGGACCTGATGCTGACACGAGACCATGTCTGACTGCAGGCCAGACCTCTCGCTTGCCAAGACCGCCCCCTCCCTCCCCTCACCATCCCTCCCCTCCCCATCCCTCCCATCACCTCTAGCACCTGGCCATCGTTATCTAATTGACTCGCTCCCAAAGCCAACTCAGTCACTCACCTCGTGGTCAGGTATGTTAAGCAAGACGCTTCCCACAAACCGAACGGATTATCTCGTACATTGGATGGCGATCGTTGAGGCTGCATGACAAAGGCTTGCCCGAACCCAATTCAGAGTCATGGTCGGGTGCCCCATTATGGTGCCCGAATGTTGCCACGGCTACGCCACTCCCATGCATTTCAATTCCACGTCCGTCCGGTGCCATCACAACAGCTGTGTGCCTCAACACGAGTCCCGACGTCTTTATCTCTTTGTAACCGACAATAGCTCGAAATGCTCGCCAGACCTCCTGCTTCGTGCAGCCTCCGGTTAGCACGGATGCCTACGTGCGGTGGGAAAAAAGTTCAACATACTTAGGTGTGTCCCAAGACAAGAGCTCCCTTTGTTTCTTGGGATTGAACTTGCGACGGGTTTCGACGGAGCACAAGGGCGGCTCGAAGGGATTCGTAGCGACTTGTAATCCTCGTATCGTGAATGAGGCCCAGGTCGTGCTATGATGGATGAAACCCCTTGATCTGTAATAACAATGGGAAATAATAATGCCCTTTTGATCCAGGAAAACTTCGCTGAGTGTCAAGAAACTCTTTTGAGGAGCATGCTGCATTGGGATGTTTGGCCTGTTCCATGAAGGAGTTTATTTATAGCTTCACGTGGGGAGAAACTGGACAACCCGGGGAAAACCCACACATACATCCAAACTCCGTACAGATGGGTGCCGGAGTTCATTGCTGTACTGCCATCTCCTGGCCATCTCATAGCCCAAGCCCACAACACCTGGCATTCCCAGGACGATACTTGCTTGGCTTCCGAGACCTGATGAGATCGGAGGCTTGCGTGGTGATTTTGACGTAGACTCTGAAGTCGCGAGTATTATACACCGAGCTGCCATCGCTGCTGCGGCTGCCATCGCTGCTGCGGCTGCTATGACAGTGCGAATGACGGGAAACCATTGCACTTTGTGTTATTACTTTGACTGTAAACGTATTGAACGCGTTGGCACGTTCCTACATTATTAATCCGCCAGTTGGCGTCCACAGACACCGTGTATTGAGCGCAGTTTATCAATCTTTAATGGGGCCCTTTTATGCAGCGGAATTACAGGTTGCGTTTTAAACGGCCGACGCGCGCCCATCCTGATGATTAGAGGCTCGGTGATGCCGGCGGCGCGGGGGGGGGGGGGTGAGCAGTGTGCCGGCCTGTGCTCCGGTCAGCTGGATTGCGACAGGTTTCAACGGAACAACGAGGGCGGCTCGGAGGGATTAGTTACGATTTGTAATCGCCACGGACCGCGCGCTACTACGTTGGGTTTCTGCTTGGTGGGCTGAAGCCCCCCGCAGAGCGATATGCCGCACAAAACAGCAACCAACGATTAAACTAACGACCTTCTTGTCTGTTGTGGGTTAGTTGGGGTCTTTAGAAGCAGTGCATCATTTGAAATTGTAATCTTATCATGGCCTATGCTGTTTGGGTAACTTAATAAAACACGGGTTGTGTGTGTGTCGTCTGTATGTGTGCCTGCCTCCTGTGGACCTTTAACACATACTGAAGAGTGCGATTACGTGAATTGTTCAACGCCGATTCTGACAGCTGCGATTCATATCTGGAGCGTAAAAATCATCCGTAATTATTTGATGAACTGATGAATTGGTTCGTTGGAGACAAATTGGTCATCTCGTGTCAGGTGTGCAGAAGAGGACTGTCATGTTGAGCAGAATGAGCACCGCTCCATCGTCACCGTGACGCAATTTCATCCCACTATTGTCGTCTTCTTCCAATCTTTTATCTTCTTAGTGTCTTCTTCCTGTCTTCTCTCCTTCTCGTGGCCTCATTCTATCCTGTTTTTACCCCATTCCTAAGATCACAGCCGGAGAGCGCTGTCTGTTTACGTGAGTGCGCATCGGTCCTTTGGAGGATGTGTACCTCGGCTGTTACTACTTTTGTATTGTTTCCAGAAATTCAAGTAAATGGCTTCGCTTGCGAGGACTGCCACGTGTCGGAGGGCGCTGTGGGGATCCGTGCGTGTTCGTGATCATTCTTCCCCACGGCTCGCTGCGCCCGCACAGACACGCCGCCGGGGGAGGTACAGGAGCTGTTCTGCCACAAGCTGCAGCAGTGCTGCCTGGTGTTCGACTTCCTCGACTCTGTCTCCGACCTCAAGGCCAAGGAGCTGAAGCGCGCTGTGCTCAACGAGCTGCTCGACCACCTCACCTCGGGGCGCGGTTCTCTCACAGAGCCACTCTACCCCGAGATCATACGCATGGTGGGTGGCGGTGGATGTGCTGTGCGGTGGTGTGTGGTGGCATGGTGGGCAGTCATAGTGTATGGTGGGCGGTGGTGATAGTGATGTATGGTGGTGTATGATAGGTGGTGGAAGTGGTGTATACTAAATAGTGGTGATGTGTGTGGTCGGTGGGGATGGTGGTGCATTGTGGGTGGCGGTGGTGGCATGGGGAGGTCGTCATCCAACAGTGAATGCACAAAAGGGCAGTACACGTTCATTAAAACTGGCAAATGTTTGTCCTGTGGCCTGCGTGTAGCGTGTGCGCGCTTGAGAGCTGTTGCCATGGCGCTATGAGTGACACCGCAAACCCCACGCGAGAGTTTGTAACAGGATGAGCGCTTCCTATTTATTTTCGGGGCCGAAGCCGGACTCAAGATGCGAGGGGGGGGAACAAAAATCTGAGCCGAACACTTGAACCCCTCAGCGGAGCGGCTGCACTGTTTACCGACCTCGTCTTGAACCCTGGTGTTTGCCTAGGAAAGCCTTCCTTTTTGGGTAAAGGGATCTTTGTGGGGGGGTAGGGGGTGGGGTGAGTGGACGAGCAAATTCCGCTGTTGTCTCAGGCCCGCGCTGTCCTGGCTGTGCCCTGCGTTTTTGTTTCTTCTCTGTCGCCGAAATCGCCAGGTCTCCCTTGCAAAAGAGTTTATTGACACTACACTGCTACACCTTGTCCTCCAGCAGCAGCAGCAACCTGTTGTGTTGTTGAGTAATCATCACCAGCCATCGTTAATAAACTAAACTTTTTGTTTTCAAACTAAACAATTTTATTTACGAGGTAAAGCCCACTGAGCTCTTATGTTCGTTTTCAGAAGTGACGCAGCCACAATTGATAGCTCAACGAAGTGGCTTATCACGTGGAAATTAATAGCAGTCAAATACTCTAAACGCGTGTTGAATCTAATGTGGAGGAAAAAAAAACACCGCGACCACGGGGAGAACATGCATACACCAAATATACAGGCGTCAGGGTTGAAATCGAACCCGTCACGTCCTGCATACCAGGCGAGGGAGATAACATCTCACCATCGCGGCGCCCCTGGATGAAGGTCTCTCCAAGCTCCCTGCCCATGCCTCACGGTCCTGCAATGATCCACCAAGCAGCTGCACACGAGTTAATGTAATCACTCCATCTCCACGGTGTACGCCCTCCTGAGCTTGGTCTCTCATTTGACTGCCGCTCCTTCTCCTTGATCAGCGCTCATCATCCCTTGGAGCGACGATTGCTACCCAAGCTCACTTAGGTTTCTTAACAGTCACGATGGTGTCTCCGAGTGGCGACTGTTGCGTAATCCCTCTCTTCCCCTTTCTCTCTCGGTGTAGCTCTCACTAAATGAAGCCCAGTGATTGATGCGTTCATAGCAGTGGTGGTTTACATTTTAGTGCAAAGGTGTCTGCTTCACCAGCTGTGCAACTTGATTAAAAAACGAAGGAAAAATCTGCTATCATTTATACTTCATCCCAGCAGTCACCGAAGCAGCAGTAATTCATTAGGATGACTTATTGTAGTATGCTTACACAAAGCCTTGTGTCTACATAGGTGTGAGGAGTGGTGGCAAAGTAGTTGGCGTACTGAGCGACCAACTCGGTGACCTGGATTCGATTTCTGGCCATGGGCAACATGCATAACATCACAATAATCAATTGTAATCCAGTCCATCGATTACATCATCACATGTAGTGGCTCGTTATACATACGGAGCGCCACATGCAGCAGCGGATTTTCTTTGGTCACGTAGGAAATTCACCCGCATGCCCACGGATGTTTTAACGCCGTAAATCTTGGCGTGGCTTGTTACAACGTTGGTGGCAGGTGCTCACTGCGGCGCCGGCGCTACCAGCAGCTGCCCTCTGCTATTTACTAGCAGCACCTCGCGGCAGCTCGTTAGCGTCTGCTGCAAACGTGCCGTGGTGGAGTCGGCCAATTGTTATGATTAAAAAGCTGTTTAGTTTTCAGCCCATGTCGCACTTACGATTATGCCGGGGCGTTATTTTTATTTATTGCCTGCCCGAGCCCCCAGGGGCGGCAAGGAATGGGTAATTTACGTTTAATTGGCTGCGTCTAACGCTGGCCTCTGTTAAATTGGTGGGTCCATTCGTGCAGGCCTTGTCTTTTCGTTTGCACGATGATTCTCAGTCCTGCCTCCCCACCTCCGACCAGCAACACCGATGCCTCCTCCGTCGGGAGTCCGTCTTCAGATTTCGGGACTTTTGTCGCCTGATGTGACGCTGTGACTGCGGCACCGTGAGAGCCATTGCCACGGTGTCACCATCGCGTGGCACTCCAGATGAAGTGGGTGTTCTGGCACGCAATGTGTTATTTGAGTTTTGTTTTATTTTTAAATCGCACTTGGCGGTGAGTGGGTGGGTGGGTGTGCCGTGCAGGAGTAATTAGAGGGTGGGTCTTATTGGAGAGCGTTCACAATGAGTGTGTGCGGGAGGCACCTGTTTTATGTGGTCTTGTAAAAACCCGATGCGGATTTGCTGTGAGCCGGTCCGGAGCATTGCTCTGCACATGTTGATTGTGGAATGTTCCCCTTGGAGGGCATTGACACCGATGGTTTTTTTTTTTTATACCCAGAGGCCTTCGCTAATGGAAGACACATTTTACACTGATTTCCTTCTGGGCAATTCTTTCTTTGGCAAACTCGACCTGAAAGACCCTTTAAGGTCAAGGTATGCCGCAATAAGACGTAGAGCGATAGGCGACGTCGTTAATGGGGTAATAGCCGACTAAGATCTGAAGTTTCTCTTTCAAGGGAGAACTGGCCTTAATTATGACAAACAAGCATCCAGATTTGAATGTCTAAATACAACTGCGGAACAAAACATACAATTTAATAATAATATACGAGCTCCTTCCTTCAGGCAGTCTAGCAGCATCTTTCTTGGACTGCCTCTCGATTTCTGTCCCCAGAATAATTTCCTTCAGCACCCTCCGTCAGCGTGAGCTTTCACCTCCGAGATGGTGGCCAATGCACATCTCCTGCAATGGCAGCATCATTCTAACGCCGGCTCCTCTCCTCCCAAGCCTGCTCTCGAGCCTCCATCTTTCACTCCAACAGATTGCCTCCATTCATCGCCAAAGCCCACATATTGAGACTTTCCAGCCTTGTTTTTACGTCTTCCTCTCTCCAAGTATCCGCCGCACATAACGCTACGCCATTCATCTGGGGTCTGAGGGATTAGGTTTGCTAGAATGTCGCCTTAGCCAGGAATGCGTTGCCAGGTGCCGGTGTTAGGGTGGCCGGGTCGGCGGGTCGCGCGTGGGTCCCTCTGTTTCGTGTTTACTCACTTTGTGTTTTAGTTACGGCTGAAGCCTCTGTTTACCGATTCGTTCTCTCGTCTCGCTGATGGCCGCGGCGGCGCTGTGTGGCGATGGCTGCATGCGTCATGGCGCCCACGTGTGCTCCTCGGCACGTGCGTGGCGTGCGATCACGGCCACGTGGGCGCCGATAGAGAAGCGGCGGGTGCCGTCTCGTTCTTCAGGCTCTTTCGAAATCTACTGGCACCCACCACCCCCCCCACTCTTTTGTGTTTTTAGAAAATGATTGTTTAATGGCAGTCAACGACTCGCCTTGATGTTATCACGTTTTATATAGCTGATGTTATCACGTTTTATACCTGAAGGAAAAGAATGCAAGACATCATCTCTGTAAAGGCTGCTTTTGTCGCCGTGGGTAATAATAATGATTAAGAATGATTCTTCCGCATGCCAATTTTCTCAGTCATGTGAGGTCTGCCTTGTTGGACTCCACTAATTATTGTCCCATGTCTGTCCATTCCACAGTAGTTCATTGTAACTATAATAAGTCCTGTGTCAATCCACTGCTGAATTGTGACCTCTATGTGACCTGATTTTTTGACATCATATCGTCGAGTCTCTGGCGGGAAGAGCATGAATCCTAGATTTGAAGCTTTCGTGACTACAAGGATTCATATTGTTGGGTTTTTTCGGTAAAGTCACGTAGGTAAAAAATTAAAATTAAAATCACGACGATTCGGAGGCAACACAAGCCTCCGTCTTCGGGTGATACAGCGAGCGTGCTGTGACGGTTCCACCTGAAGACGGAGGCTTGTGTTGCCTCCGAAACGTCGTGATTTTTATTTTTTACCTACGTGACTTTACCGAAAAAACCCAAGAATATAGAGCATGAATCGTTTCATGCCTAAGATGCACAAACCGGAGAGATCCTTGCAGCATCTCTGTGGCGGGAGGAGAGATTGTTAACCGGAGCACCGTTGTGCTGCATGTGGTTGACGCAGCATAAGCGTGGTTGGCGGTGGCAGTTAATGCGGCGGCGGTGTCGCCGTGTGGTCGCCCGCAGGTCTCCTGCAACGTCTTCCGAGCGCTCCCGCCCAACGACAACAACGAGTTTGACCCCGAGGAGGATGAGCCCATGCTGGAGGTCTCCTGGCCCCACCTGCAGGTGCGTGCTCGCCCCCCCCCACCCCACAATGCACCACAGCCCTGAGAAATCCAACACAGGTTTACATAGGCCATGCGATGTTGTCTTACTTGCCGGATGCAATTAATTGTGAAAGGGTATATTTTGTTAAACCATTCATGACGCTCGGAACACCGGTGAACAGAACTGACCAAGCATCTTAATTCAGTACCCTGCTGGAAATTGAGTCCTGATGGGAATTCATCGATAAATAAATAAAATTAAGTAGTATCACCACAACAATATCCACCCCCCCCCCCCCCCCACTTAACCCACCTCCCTCTACCACAGAGCACTTCCTTTCTTCTCCCCTCATCTTCGTGACACCAGACGAAGCGTAAACTCATGGCCGGTCCCAACAATACTGTACTTGCATACATATGCCATTTCTTTTCCAGTTTAATGCAGAATAACAACTTGAAAAGCAAGCATGCAATACACGGATTCTGTGACGCTTTTAACGTGTGTGTTTGTCCCCAGAGGTATGTAGTTCGTGATGATTGCATCACCTTGTGAGCCACACGCGATGCCTCGTCACATGTTTTGATCAACACCAGTTTTCTATGGCGCAAGTCCCTAACAGCAAGATGACTTTACATTAACATTCCATTTGTATTGGGTCATCTTTACGAGAGTTTCCATGACCCCGAGTGACAGACGGGTGGACGGACGGAGTTAATGCGTTAACGTTTTCAACATTTCGCTGGAAAACATTTAAAAACGAAACTCAAGCATCTTACATTGCCACTGCGATCACTTGCACGTGGCCGCACGGGCCAACAGCAGCGCACAAACGTTCCCGCTCTCCCCCTCTCCTACAGCTCGTCTACGAGTTCTTCCTGCGCTTCCTGGAGAGCGCGGAGTTCCAGCCGGCCATTGCCAAAAAGTACATCGACCAGAAGTTTGTCTTACAGGTACGGTCGCCAGCGGCAAAGCGTGCCTCCGTGTTTTGCCTGATTGGCAAAAAACAACGTCACCACCCGGGAGCACGTCCCGCCACAGCGGGGAAATGTGGGGTGATGAATCGTATGTGGACTGTGGCGTGTACAGCGTGCGTACTGCGCGTGTATACCGTGCGTTAATACCTTGCGTATTAACCGTTCCTGTGTACTGTGCGTGTGTGTACTGTGCATGTACCGTGCGTGTGTACCACGTGCGTACCGTGTGCATACCACGAGTGTACCCTGCGTGTATGCCGTGCCTGTACCATGCGTGTGAACCTTGCCTGTACCTTGTGTGTTGTCCCACGCCTGTACCGCGCATGTGTACCGCGCAGGTGCTTGAGCTGTTTGACAGCGAGGACCCGCGGGAGCGCGAGTTTCTCAAGACCGTGCTGCACCGCATCTACGGGAAGTTCCTGGGGCTGCGCGCCTTCATCCGCAAGCAGATCAATAACATCTTCCTCCGGTGAGACACGGATCCACGCACTGCTCCAACCGACCGCGCTCTCCGCTGCTGCCATCATCGGCATCATTGGCCATGATCAATCCACTGCAGGATGAAGGCCTCCTACCCAAGCCTATCGTCGTTTCTCTTGGTTCTGCGACGTGACCACCCTAAGCACCCATTTGGTACCTTCAAATAAGTGGAGGCCTTTTCATAATGGCACTGCTGTGTTGTATTCTTCCTCTGGTTCTTTGTCCTCTTGGGCCGTGGGCCGTGACCATGCCCTTCACCGATATCTCCTCGCATTGTCTCTCCACTCCTTCCTGTCCATCGCGGCGCCTTTCAACCGAGACCACTTCCGTCCCGTCCGGTGTTTGATGTTTGACGTTCGGTCAGATGGTGGTCATCCTCCTCTACCCCTAGGACCTGCCGGTGGCCCCTTCGTCACCATCCCCTGCCGTGTGTTGCAGGTTCATTTATGAGACGGAACATTTCAATGGCGTGGCCGAGCTGCTCGAGATCCTGGGCAGGTGAGAGGAGCCTTCGCGTGCGCACACACGTACGGCCTCATTGTTACTCCGCTGCTGGATTAGGGCTTCCCTACGGCATGCGGGCCCGTTGGGGTTAATCGACCGTACTTCACCACGCCGGTCAGTGCGGGTTTGGTGTTAGGCGGAAAGCGTAAACGTGGAAGCGTTGTACAGTGCAACGATGGATCTTGCTGCAGGTGCCCGCTACTGCCCTCGCATGCGCCAGTAAATCGGCGTTGCGTCCTGACCCTGCACGTAGAATTGGACTCGTGTTTGTGTCTCCGAGCAGTAACCTGTGATGTCGAGCGGGAGTGGTTCAAGCACAGAGCACCACGCTTCGTCTACTTCACTCACAGAGGTTAAAGATCCCTTGACGTCATTCGTAAGAGGAGGCCATTGTGTGATTGCATCGGGGTCCAAATTTGCCAAATTCGAAAAAATTACACCACAAATTACTATTAACATAACAGCAGTCATGGACCCCTACTGGCAGGCTAATGCCCCAGGTCACTCATGCACATGAGACTGTCATGGTCTTTTGAGTTCTCAGCTAGTTAAACAAAATCAACTCGTATTTGTGTATGTTGGCGTTGATGTCTATGTGTAAGGGGAGTTGGAAGGTGAGTGGGGGGGGGGGTGCATCTTCTCTGATCTGGTATTCCATGGGCAAAGATCTCTAAACCTGGCCCTGGGCTGGATCTTCACTGAGACTGTCCGCGTGTGTGTCTGCGTGTGTGTCTGCTTATGCAGCATCATCAACGGCTTTGCGATGCCCCTCAAGTCGGAGCACAAGCAGTTCCTGGTGAAGGTGCTGCTTCCGCTGCACACTGTCAAGGTTCTCTCCCTCTTCCACGCACAGGTGCGTGCTCTGCCCCTGTTAAGACACAGGTGTTATGGATGCTGCACATGCATGGCAGGCAGGGTACACTGTATCCCCGCTTACAAACGTGCTCTATCCCTGTTGTAGCCAGGCGTGTTATAGTTACTCGTGTTACAGACAGGTGTTGCTGGTACTCTCAATGCAGACAGATGTGTGCTAGTTACTCGTGTTACAGACAGGTCACAGTGCGCATAGATATGTGTTGTACCTTTGTTACCGACAAGGGCAATGCACGTCTGTTACAGGCAGGTGCGCTGTATCCTCACATACAGATGAAATAGGTATCTTCCTGCATTGTTTGACTGCTGTGCTGTAGTTTTAACCAATTAAGCATTGTGCTCGGTGTGGTTGCAGCTCGCGTACTGTGTGGTGCAGTTCCTGGAGAAAGACCCGCAGCTGACGGAGCCGGTGAGTTAGAGACTGACATTTCTCCCCCCCCACCCTCCTGATGACCTGCTTCTTCGCTCGCTCACTCGCTCACTGACCTACGCGCCCACGCTCGCTCGCTGACCTATGCGCCTACGCTTAGTGAGCCCCAGGGCGTACGTGACCGAGGGCCCCCCCCCCGCTCGCGTTTGCCTCGCCCCCGGGACTTGTGACCTGCACAGAGCGTGCGTTGCACGCGGCGGTCGCTTTTGAGAAATGCCAAACGGTGTCCAAACGGGCAATGTCACCAACACGAGAATGATCAAACGTCTCGTGGAACACAGCAGTTGACGCTACCACTCCACAAACTCGTTTCACACAAACCTGATAAAAAAAAAACAACAGTTTTATGTACAGTGAGGGAAAAAAGTATTTGATCCCCTGCTGATTTTGTACGTTTGCCCACTGACAAAGAAATTATCAGTCTATAATTTTAATGGGAGGTTTATTTGAACAGTGAGAGACAGAATAACAACAAAAAAATCCCGAAAAACGCATGTCAAAAATGTTATAAATTGATTTGCATTTTAATGAGGGAAATAAGTATTTGACCCCCTCTCAATCAGAAAGATTTCTGGCTCCCCAGTTGTCTTTTATATAGGTAAAGAGCTGAGATTAGGAGCACACTCTTAAAGGGAGTGCTCCTAATCTCAGCTTGTTACCTGTATAAAAGACACCTGTTCACAGAAGCGATCAATCAATCAGATTCCAAACTCTCCACCATGGCCAAGACCAAAGAGTTCTCCAAGGATGTCAGGGACACGATTGTAGGCCTACACAAGGCTGGAATGGGCTACAAGACCATCGCCAAGCAGCTTGGTGAGAAGGTGAAAACAGTTGGTGTGATTATTTGCAAATGGAAGAAACACAAAAGAACTGTCAATCTCCCTTGGCCTAGGGCTCCATGCAAGATCTCACCTCGTGGAGTTGCAATGATCATGAGAACGTTGAGGAATCAGCCCAGAACTACACGGGAGGATCTTGTCAATGATCTCAAGGCAGCTGGGACCATAGTCACCAAGAAAACAATTGGTAACACACTACGCCGTAAAGGACTGAAATCCTGCAGCGCCCGCAAGGTCCCCCTGCTCAAGAAAGCGCATATACAGGCCCGTCTGAAGTTTGCCAATGAACATCTGAATGATTCAGAGGACAACTGGGTGAAAGTGTTGTGGTCAGATGAGACCAAAATGAAGCTCTTTGGCATCAACTCAACTCGCTGTGTTTGGAGGAGGAGGAATGCTGCCTATGACCCCAAGAACACCATCCCAACCGTCAAACATGGAGGTAGAAACATTATGCTTTGGGGGTGTTTTTCTGCTAAGGAGACAGGATAACTTCACCGCATCAAAGGGACGATGGACGGGGCCATGTACCGTCAAATCTTGGGTGAGAACCTCCTTCCCTCAGCCATGGCATTGAAAATGGGTCGTGGATTGGTATTCCAGCATGACAATGACCCAAAACACACGGCCAAGGCAACAAAGGAGTGGCTCAAGAAGAAGCACATTAAAGTCCTGGAGTGGCCTAGCCAGTCTCCAGACCTTAATCCCATAGAAAATCTGTGGAGGGAGCTGAAGGTTCGAGTTGACAAACGTCAGCCTCGAAACCTTAATGACTTGGAGAAGATCTGCAAAGAGGAGTGGGACAAAATCCCTCCTGAGATGTGTGCAAACCTGGTGGCCAACTACAAGAAACGTCTGACCTCTGTGATTGCCAACAAGGGTTTTGCCACCAAGTACTAAGTCATGTTTTGCAGAGGGGTCAAATACTTATTTCCCTCATTAAATGCAAATAAATGCATAACATTTTTGACATGCGTTTTTCTGGATTTTGTTGTTGTTATTCTGTCTCTCACTGTTCAAATAAACCTACCATTAAAAATTTCGACTGATTATTTTTTTGTCAGTGGGCAAACGTACAAAATCAACAGGGGATCAAATACTTTTTTCCCTCACTGTATGTGCTCATATATTGAAACCGAATTTAATTGTAATTGTGTCTCTCCCACCCCCTCGTTCCCAGGTGATTCGAGCGTTGCTCAAGTTCTGGCCGAAGACGTGCAGCCAGAAGGAAGTGCGTGTAACCGCACAGGCAGCCCCATCATCCATCTCTGTTACTCGTTCATAATATTTCAGCCGGAATGCAAAGCCGAGACCTGGAACAAAAGAGGGAAACGAAAATGCGTTCTGCTTCCCGTGCTGTGCCCCTTCCTTGCTGCTGTCGTTTCTCTTCCTGCCCCGAGAGAGCGAGATGCCTTGTCTCTGCGCATCGTTGTTGCCTAAATATTGCTCCCAACGAGGATAACGGCCACGTGACGACCCATCTGCTGTGCCACGGTGACGAGATGTTAAATACCCCTCGCCTAGTATACAGAAGATCGCCGGGCCAATCCCGACGCCTGTATATTTGGAGTTTGCATGTTCAACCCGTGGTCGCGTGGATTTTTCTCCGGGGTCTTCCGGTTTCTCCCCTCTACATTTAGAATCAACATAACATGCGTTTAGAGTATTTGGCTGCTTAACATAATTTCTACACGTTAAGCCAGGTCACTTCTGAAAAAGAGCTATATAGCTCATTGGGCCTTACCTGATAAAATAAAAGAGTTTCAATAGTTTCGTTTTAGTAGCACACCAAGTCTGCCAAAGCCACCTTGAAGTCTTAATCTGTTGGAACCACGAATTGGTTAAAGCAAATAAAGCCGGCACACAGCCCATTAATGACATTTTCAACTCGATTGAAATCTTACTCTTCCCGGAGAGAGAGAGAGAGCACCTCGACTGTGAGGCTACATGGGGGCAGCAGAGGGCACTGCATCACAATCCATTGTTGTCCTTTACTTCTATGCTCCCATGTCTTCTTCCTGCCTTCTGCACGAACCAGCGGCTTAAAGTATGGTCAAAAAACCCCCACAACCCGCACGTGATATGGCGAGGCGTGGATTGATCAAAGGGGGCTGCATGTGCATGCGTGGGTACTGACGGCATGGTCCCCCGGTGGCGCGCACAGGTGATGTTTCTGGGTGAGCTGGAGGAGATCCTGGACGTCATCGAATCGAACCAGTTTGTCAAGATCCAGGAGCCACTCTTCCGCCAGATCGCCAAGTGCGTGTCGAGCCCCCACTTCCAGGTGAGCAACGCACGCACTCCATCCCGGGTTTTCGTTGTTGCGCCGCAGGTTTGGTGTTGGGCCACAGCGGTGGATGTGGAGGACCTTGGTCGTTTTCAATGACGTCGCTTAGTCGGATCTTGATGCAAAAACAACTCCGACCTCGACCTCCCACACAGCCGACCCCGTGACTGCTGTAGGTTACCAGCGTCATAAACGCCGAACAGCTGAGCGGCTCCACGTGCTACACACGCCCTATATACATACACACCCGATGTATACACACATACATATATAGACATGTATCGAGTGAGTCAGGGGTACTTAGTTGAACTTTTTATCCTACCTCAAGTGAGGTTCCAGACAGGCATTAGGCATGTCACAGGTGAGGCCTCGCCTCGCCTGCCCACTGGGTCGACCACCCCCGACCCAGTCAGGGGTTTAATATATTTTAGTAACACGGCCTACGACGCATCACCGTCGTACCTCATGCCCGTCCCCTACATGCGTCCTGGACACCGGCATTGACGTCGCGCGGTCGCTCGCCCGGCGCTCGTTAGCGGTGCCGAGATGACCGACCGTGGTGGACGAGGGCGGGAGTGAAAAGCTTGGCTCACGCTCGGCGCGATGTTGTGTGGCACGCGCAGGTGGCGGAACGGGCCATGTACTACTGGAACAACGAGTACATCCTGGGACTCATGGAGGAGAACATCTCCACCATCCTGCCCATCGTCTTCGGCAGCCTCTACCGAGTCTCCAAGGAGCATTGGAACCAGTGAGCTCTGCCGCCACCACCACCACCAACTGCTGCCGCTACCGCCACCACCATGCTTGAAGAGCGCAGTTCCGACCAGGCCAAAATCTGCGTCTTGTTTTCTTCATTTCCATTCCAGCTTTGTGGAGGCCACTGGCTCCATGGGTGACAGATAGGTCTGGGATATCGTAATATTTAGTAATCGATGACTTTTCAAATTATCAGTTCGACTGCTCGACAAACCAGATCGCACGAAAATAATTGGGGAGAAAATTCTCACCTCTGTTTCTGCATGTGCCGCTTGACTGGAGGTGATGGGTGGGGCATGGTGATATATCATCAGCCGTGTCGCGCTGGGCGTGTTTGGTATGGGGTTTCTCGCCTTCGAGAGGCAGGATTTCAGCGCGGCCATTTTTAATGGGGTCAGAACAATCGGCCAGAAATTAAGTAGTTGGCGATGTTATCTTTGATTAGTCGACTAATTGTCCCAATATTAGCCGCTATCAGTCCTTCTCCATTGTTTTCTATCAACAACGAGTTGCTGGTCTTGCGTCCTTTCCATCGCCTCCAGAATGACCCCTTAAAGCCGTCGGTTTCAGCTCGGACGTCCTCTGCTGTTGCCTTCATCTTCATCTGTTGTTTTTTTATTGAACGGCAGTGTCGCGTACGGCAGTCTACATTATTCAATCCTTGGTGTCTTTTTTCAGTTCTACTGCCGATGAATGGTCTGGTCCATGACACAGTAGCCAAATGCCACCGCCGCTGAATTGCACTTCCACCGAAGCTGTGTATGGCGCTCAAGTGGCCGTTTTGATGCAAAATGTAACCCCATCTATATTGTCTCGTAAACTGTTGACTCGCCGACGCTGATCTTAATTTGAATGTCAGTTTTGACTTGCTGTAGACTCCCAGCTCATTTTATTTGGGTCTTTCGGTAAAGTCACGTAGATAGGTTCAAAACTAATAAAATAAACAAAAAACTACTATAATTTTTTGAACCTATTTGCGTGACTTTATCGAAAGACCCAAAGAATATAAATTCCTGCACGAAAGCTTTAAGTAAGTCAAGATTTACCCAGCTCATGGTTTATGCGTAAACCTCACGGGCTAAGGAGCATTGAGGTTGCACTCAGTGTGCACGTGTGTGTCTCTGTGCATGTGTGGCTGGGTGGAGCAGTAGCGTGGTGGTGCAAACCCGGCGACCTTGGTTTAAATTCCTGGGCACGATTTCTATCTGTGACGAGTGACTACTGAACCATCTAGGCCTCCTCTTGCTCAATTCAGCCTTCAATGGGTGCCCGGTGCAGTGTGTAATACCACCAGCACGGCTGAGGCAGATGCCAGGGAATGTCTCTTTTAATCTTGATTTGATTCTTTCGGTAAAGTCACGTAGGTAGAAATAAAATAAAAAAACAAATCGTGACGTTTCGATCGCAACACAAGCAATCTTCATCAGGTGGAACAACCACAGCAAGAAAATGCTGAAGTGAAAATTCACTTGAGCATTTTCCAAAGAGTATGAATGTCTCTTGCTTATGTGTGTGACCTAATTTTGTGTGTGCACGCACGTGTCTGTGTGTTGGTTTCTGAATGTGTGTTTGCGCATGTGTCTCCGTGTGTACGTGGGGAGCGGTAGTGTAGTGGTTAGCGAGCTGCGCTATGAGCCCGGCGACCTGGGTTCGATACCTGCTCCGTCAACAGCAGCGACGAATATCTGAACCGGTCCTGGGCCTCCCCTAGGTCGACTCAGTCTCAAATGAGTACCTAGTGTGGTCTGTAAACATGACCACTGGGGAGACCACTGGGAAGTCGTGTGTGATGCTGGCCACCCACCCCCTCTTGTGCTTTATCGGCCTTCATAGGTGCTCACTAACAGCACTTGCCCCAACAGTTTGTTAAGGCTATACGGGGGGGGATTTGTCTTTGTGCGTGGCGGTATTCAGAACCATCGTTGCCCTGGTGTACAACATCCTCAAGACCTTCATGGAGATGAACAGCAAGCTGTTTGATGAGCTCACAGCCTCCTACAAGGCGGAGCGGCAACGGTGAGAGTTCCCTTACGAGACGGTCACTGTCGCCGTCCACTGGACGTCTTCAGTGCGGCGTCACCGTTGGCCCCGTGCATGTAAATACCATTGTGTTTGACTAGTGAATAATTGATGCAGTTGGGTTTCTTTTGGGAAGTGGTTGGAACTCATGAGACTTAACACACGAGATGGTACACACAGGACATTATAGACACAAGATGGCACATGAGGCTGGGCAAACGAAATGTTTACTACAGAGAGAACAAAGGAGACGGATCAAATGGCACGAAAACAAACACGAGAGAATGTTAATTGATTCGGCAAATGTGTTACTGGCCTAGGAAAAGTCTTCATCGTGTGCATTCAAGGGTCAATCCTTGCCACTGGGTGGCAGCAGTCGTGCATGATCCTTTCCTCCTCGGGCATCTCGCGACCAACAGACGTCCCCCCACCTGAGATGTGTGCTTGGTGTGCGGTGTGGTGCTAGGGAGAGGAAGCGGGAGAAGGAGCGTGAAGATCTGTGGCAGAGGCTGGAGGAGCTGCAGCTGCAGCAGTCGCCCAACAACAACAGCGCTCGCGCGGCAGGCACCAGCTAGCTCCTCCTCGCCCCCCCCGCAGACCGCGGGTCCCCACGTCAGGTTTCCATCCTCCTCCACAACCTCTCCTATTTTTTTTTACTTTCTAATTTTTGTTTCTATTTCTTTGAGGGGGCATAACACGAGTTTGCAAACATCAAAAGTGGTGAAAGGAACGCTTGAGATGGTGGGTGTTTGTGCGTTGCGTTTCTAAGTATATGAACGTCCTTTGGCCTTAAACTCACCGCGCGTGAGCTTTAAAATAAATAAATAAACAGGTGGTGCAAAATGTCCAGATAGCAGGGACGATAGGCGAGCGCGCGTCTTGTGTCGGGTGCAGCATGCGCACGTAGTATGCGAGCGACTGTGTTTGTACGCGCGATGTGTTTGTACGTGTGTACGCATGCGTGCGTGTGTGCAGCGTTGGCCGACCAGAATGCCGAGAGGTTGCATGTGTGGTGGTTTTACTCCCCAGAGCGAGCGCTCTGTACACGAACGCCTCGACTCCCTCTGCCAGAAAAAAATAATACCCCCCCCCCTCCTCCACCGCGATTAAACATTTCAGGTTTATTCATTCGGACGTTACGTACTTCAGCAAAAAAAAAAATACCGCAAACATATCTGGACAAGAGCTAGTTCCTGAAGTGCATCCAGGAACCGGGCGCGTCATGTGACGCAGCATCGCCTCGTCAGACACCTTGTACATATGCCTTTGTCTTCCACAGGGTTTTTTCGTAAACAGTTACGCAGACGTTAGCGTCTCAAATTTGGTTTTTAAAACTTAAAAGAGAAACTTAAAATGCAAAGGTGTTCTACGCGAGTATTCGGAGTTCCGTAGAAGAACGCAGCGAGTGGCCGGGCTGCGTTTCTTCCCAAAGTTTTCTCTTCCTGCGACTTAATTTGTTGGGGTGCGCCCCGGCACTTTCACTCGTTTCCACATGGACTAGTACCGGTTTGTAAAGTTGGGTTCTGTTCTTGGGAAGGTGTGTGTGTGTGTGTGCGCGCGCGCGTTATAAGGGCACTCTGTGTAAAGGTCGTTATATTTTTTGTTGCTTTTGACAAAAGCGAACGGGCGGAGGTGTGCTCAATACAAACTCACGTCAGAGGTGCAGATGGCCGGGGAGAGGGGGGTGGGGGGGATATTGGGACCTTTACACCATTACTCTTATTCAGAAATATTTTTAAAGTTTGTAAAGATGTTGCATAGTATTTCAGTTATTCTGTAAAAGTAAAAAAAAAATCAAGCCGTGAAAAAAAAGACGCGTAATGACGTTTCTAAGAGCTAGCAGGCCAACCTGGTTGTGATTGCCGGCCTGCTGACGGCACGAGCCGCAGTATGAGCACACCTCCACCACGCATGCTGCGCCTCCCTCTCTCCTCCCTCCTGCCCGCCTGCGCCAGCTACATCGCTTGCGGTTTTGGGTTTTCCCTTTGCCCAACCACCACGTGCGCCATCCGCTGGCACGTTTGGAGCACCTCGTTGTACACCGGTGGGAATCTTCGTTCCGCGTCCTCGCGTTAAACCTGGCGGACAATTTTTGAACTGTTCTTGGGTTTGACGCGAGGAGAGGCATAGGTGCGGAGAAGGCTACCGCCCCGCCTCGTTTCGTTCCGGGAATCGTGACCCTGATGACTTGTTTGGTCTTTCCCCAGGTGTCGTGTCGGCCTTGGCAATTTCAGTAGCTCCTGTGATTTGCTTGACGGTGCGGAGTATTAGACTGTAGTCCGGTCCAGGTTTTCCAGGCAGTTTATATGCGGTGCAGTGGACGCGTCGGTTGCCAAGTACAAGGATTACTGTCGTTTAGCTACCTGTCATGAGATGTCCCAGAGTGGAAATTTGGTCGAACCTGAAACTGGATCTTTTGCTTCTGGTTTAAATGTAGATGCAACCTAGCCTGGGTCTCTCTTGCTGTCCGACACAAGCGCGACGGTGTGTTTGGTTAATACGCCAGTGCCGTGACATCGTGGTAACACCCGAGTGCGAGGTCAGGCGCAGCCCATTGGTGGAGCGAGCGGCTTGCAATCAGGTTTGCGAATTCAAATCCTCAATGCGGGTTAACTCGGAACGTCATCCCAAATTTTTTTAAACTCGTGTCAAATGGCCTAAATACTTGCGCAACGGTGTGGGTTCCCGTATCCACAAGAGCCACGTGGTTTTTGGACTGCATCTGTAAAGTTAAACAACGCCTCAGCGGCTGTTGGCGCTGGGCGGTTCAGGTAGTGTAGGAGTGTGTGTGGGAGGTGGAGTGCCATCATCTCGAGCAGATCAGCAAAGGCGGTGGATCGTGGTTGAGTGGCTAAAGCAGCGCGCACACCCTGTTTGGCGTGTATGGTTGATCGCAATAGGACCAGGGCTTCAATACAGCTCGGTCTGTCCAGGTTGGTGGTCCGAAAAAATATCCCGCACCCGGCACACCATATCCAGTATACGCTCTCAGTAGGGCTGCGGCTACTAGTCACTTGCAGTCTGCTCCAGTGTATCAACGACCTGGCTAGTATTCGGTGAGCAGTAGAGAAAAAATTGAACCCCCATTGCGCCGCCTAGGTGTTGTGTGCAAGTTCCAATCCAGTGAGCTGTCGTTGACTGACTCACCAAGTGAGGACACACCCGTGGGTGTGTCTCCGACCACGGGAAAAGCCTGCGGCTGTTGTGTTTTGCCGAACATCACGCCTACACACGCGCGCGCTGTGTCTTGGGTGGTGCTGTAGTTAGCGCCGCTGCTGCCGAAAAGCAGCACTTCAACCAATCAGTAGCTCTATCCCAAATGCCAACCTCCATCACGGGCAATGGTCAATCCACTGCTGGATAAAGGCCTCCCCAAGGTGTCACCGTTCCATGGTCCTGTAATGCATGAATCCACTTGGCACCTGCACAAGCGCTGATTTTATCATTCCGTCTCCATGGTGGTAGTCCTCTCCGACACTTCCCCTCCATTGGCTCCCACTCCATCTAGTCTTGATCGTGCGTAGGTACATAGCCAACCTACGATGATCGTGCTTGCCCAAGCCCACATTTTCCATACAGTCAAATTCTTATCTTTAACCTCTGCATATGTTTGTGAATCCATGTGTTAACTCCATCCCTATCGATCCCATAGTCACATCCGTTTGCCCTGTGAGCCCCACAACTAGTGCCGGTTGATCGAGCACTAGTACACACAGCAAGATTATCTTGTACTGCAGCAGCACAATACAGACACCGGGAAATGCGATGCCCTTGGTCAGCACAGGTCAGTCCAACTGTTTATTACAGAGCTGTTTTGCCACGGTTTTGTTTGCTTTTTAATGCGAAAGGATCATGGATCAAACCGATTTAAGTGTTTGCCCTTGTGAAGATTAACAGGGGCGGCAGGTCCACGAGTTTGCGAGTAGGATTTTGGATGATCAGGTATCGTGTGTTGATGACAGGGCTTTGATGTCGCGAGCCAGTGGTGGTGGTGCGTAGATTATGAGCGGTTCACAGGGGCGCAGTCGGGGCGGCTCAAGAATCCCGTGTGGTGCGAGAGTGACGTTTGTTACCTACTTACATGAATGCCTTTCGTAAAATAAAACAAATAAATTATTTTAAAAAAGGTATTTTTATGCTCTACAGTATCAGCGGAGGAAACTTTCATTCCAAAGACGATGATCGGATGCCGTCTTTTACTGGTGCACGAATAATGGCATCGCGATCACCCGTGTTTTCAGTCATTGACCTTGCAAGGCCGAATATTGTGAATACAATAAAGCAATTTGAGAAGACCTCGCTTTCTCTCTCATCCATTAATAGCCTGGATATTTCACCCGGTCACAGATTAACTACTGGTCTCCCTACACGACTGACCGAGCCCATTGCTGGTTACATCACAGGCAGTCAAGCGGTGGCGTGTGTGCCCCTTGTTGGAGGTTCGCTGTTCGAGTCCACCGACGCCCTGTTTAATACTGCACATGTATCAACCATTAATGTGCTGCCTGTGTCACAGTGGACAAAGATATCTCGAAGTTCATCAAAAAGAGCAGGTCACATGTACTGGTGTCAAAAGTCCAAATGTGAAAAAAATCGCTTCGTTGGGAACACATTGCAACAATGCCCTCTGCGGCAAAAAAAATTGGCAGGATACTCAGTCTTGGGGGTCCACGAGGCTTTCCTGGGTGAACAAGCATAATACTAACCAGCAATTTCGTTCTTAAATCAACTGTCAAATATTATTTTGTCTCTTAGAATGTAGTGTTCTCAACATGCACAAGGAGGACACTGCTGAAATTAAACTGTTTCCAGCACACGGTCCTGTGTCAAAATGGGACCTTGCCAATATCAAAACTATGAAAAAAAATTCAATGTTTTATTTGTTCATACTTTGATACTGGCTAAAAGAGGTCCCATTTTGGAGCTACTCACACCGAGTTATAAATGCTGTGATAGTGCGTTGTCTTTGTACTGTTTGCCTTTCGGCGTTCTCTGGTCTGCCAATGGTGAAACGAGGCCTGAAGGAATGCTGTCTGGCGTAGGCCAATCAGTTTCAAAGACAATGCAGAAATTATCGGAGCATGTTTGTTTGCATGTTCACCACAACTGCCTGTGGTTCATGTAGACTTGATTCCTTGCAAAAGGTTTCTATTTGGTGTTTCAACATTTTCACACCTGTTTTATTGCCAGAAAGCGTAAAACCTATTCCTGTATGTGTGTCCTCTGCGTTGACTCGCTGCGCAGCGGGGAGCGGTGTGCAACGGCCACCGTTAACTACACGGCAAGGCACGAGCAGGCCCTACAACAGGCAGAGCGATCATGCAATCAGCTTGTCGGAATAAGTGTTAAAATCACAATCGTCGTTTGTACGTTTGATGTAAAAACAATGCATCGCACTGTTTGTGTTGGCGTCTCTGTGAAATGCAGGGGATTGGCAGTGCTTGCACCGTGTCCTCTTGTGAAAACCGCACGCACACGCACTTTCCTGGCAGGCAAAGATGGGTAAAAATGCACTCTCGTTACAAATTACTGGAGTGATGTAATTTCAATGCAAGTAAGAACCATGGATCATTTCGCTGAGATACGCAAATTACCAATTACTTTTAAGTGTATAATTTAGATGCCAATTATAAATATTGAAATTACTTAATTTATATTTAGATACTGGTCCTCTGCTCTGAGGTTCATTGGACAGTTCCATAAAACAACTCCAGTGACAATCTCCCCAAATAGACACGGATTTAAATAGGAGCTAAGGGGCCATCCATTTAGTACGTACGCAAAAATCTGTCAACTTGACCCCTCCCCCCTCCCTGTACGCACGCGTATTTTTTACCCCCCACCTGCGTACGTACGCTTGACGCACCCCTTCCCCCCCGAATCCTATAGAACGGCCGATATTTAATCCACGCAGAAACGTTCAAGGATTAATAATATTAACGTGTATCTAACTCATTTGAAGGCCAATGTAGACAAATTATTATCGAGGCTTCACCCCCCCCCCCACCCCAATTTCCTATGCGTACGTACATTGTCAGTAGACCCCTCATACGCAAGTATACGCATTTGGGTTAAACACCCCTCCCCCCTCCATGCGTACGTACTAAATGGATGGCCTCTAAGGGATTAACTTAACTGGCCAGAGCTTGAAGGACATCCCATCTTCCACAAGCTGTCACCTGTTCCTGTCCCCATCCACTGTCGTTTGCGAACCCCCCCCCCCCCCGCAGCCTGTTTACCCGTCTCCCCTGGTAGTGGCGCTGCCATGCAGCTGCAGAACTTGGGCAAACAATCAAACACTTTGCTAAATCTAGATTTTAATTATTAAGCCCAATTTGGCCACTCTGACCTAGTGGTTAAATTTAATAGGATATGTTTGTTAAAGATCAACGTTATGGTATCTTAAACTCCTTTTCCCACTTGCACATCAGAGCCATGCCAGCACAGGGCCATTGTGGTACAGGTAGTTTTCCACTGGCTATGAAGCCGACCCAGTATCTAACTGTGGAAAACTGGTGACAGGAAATCTGGATCTGGCTCGGGACAAAGGTTAACAAGTTTCATCCCGCGTTCATTGTGTATTATGTCGGTGGCACGGCTCGCCTTCTGCAATGGAAAAACAACACTGGCACCTCTTGAGCCGCACACTGGGCTGGCTTGGCACTGGCGTGGCTTGGTTGCATGGTGGAAAAAGAGGCATTCGCTCCGATCATCCCCCGCGAGTCCTCCGAATCGACGGAGGAGCAACCACAAACAGGGCTCTGTGGCCGCACGTGGAGCTCTTCCAATCCAGAGATGATGACGAGTGGCTATCACCAAGTGGTCCCAAAGCGAGTGCGATATTTACATAGAAGAGCTCAGTTTCATTACCACCACCGCCACCGGACTGGAGCAGTGTCCGAGTATCTCCTCCACCTAACTACGGTCATAATTCTCTAAACAAAGGAAGAAAAGAAAACTGCGCGACTACTTTGGTCTCTCCCCTAGTGAATGAGTCCCGCGACCCTCACGCGGCCATGTTGTTCATTTTCTGCACGCGGTGCCGGCGGTTTCGCTTGCGCACACGGATCATCCAGCGCACGCTGCTCGTCGCAAAGTCGGCCACCTTGAAGATGAGCAGTAGCACCCCGCACAGCACGGCCGCCACGCTCCACGGGTTTGCCGTCACGATCTGCGGTAACATCGCGCGCAAACGGAGATGGCTCACCGATACTGCCCGGCGCTATGATACCGCTGCTGCCACCACCACACGGCAACTCCGTGTCCTCGCCACACAGTGACGTGGCTACACCGTGACACAGTAGAATCGCTGCTAAGTACCCACGCAACACGGCTACATTGAGACAGTACAAATACGACTAGATACCATTGCTACACAGTAATACAAAACCATCACTACACCGCGCAGTGACACAGCACGTTAATTGCACAATACCACCACGACACCTATGCCCTAAAGTAACTACTCAGTAACTCTGCAGTGGAGCAGTACAGCCACTCATTAACAGAATTAACTCTACTACACATGAACACAACCACAGCGAGGCCACGCAATGAGCCGGTTTTCCCCTGCAGTGATGCAATGAATCTTCAGGATTCTGTGTTCCTAGTAAAGAATAGTTATTTTCCCCCATCTTGTTTACGTTCTCTCTTAGCCTTTTTCTGCTTCCTTAACCCAAACCTAACAACATATAATTTACATGTTTTTATCTTGATTTAAAGCTTTCGTGACTGCAGGAATTACTATTCTGTGGGTCTTTCGGTAAAGCCACGTAGATAGAAAAATAATAAAAGAAAAAATATCACGTTTCGATCGCAACACAAGCAATCGTCATCAGGAGAAAAAATATAGCAGGAGAGCTGCTGAGGCAGGAAAAAAAATATTTAAAATATAAAAAAAATCAATTAAGCAAATAGCAACCAGAGCAAAACAACCTCAGTACATGCGAAATCGAACTTATTGCACGAAGTAATGTTGATTAAAATATATTTCCTGCAATGAACGTTTGACTGCAATTACTTAAAAATAAGTTTGCAGCAAACAACAAAAAATATTCGTGACATCCAACAGTTGGGGTGAATGTTGCAAATAATCTCGTTGGGGTCACTCACCCCCTGCACTTCCTGGATGAGTGCGTCCTTCCACTCGAAGACGATGAAGAAGAGCTCGTCGGACCGCTCGCTCTCCGGGCGTTCGTCGTTGTACTTGACGACGCTGGACTGCGCCGCGCACACGAAAGAGATGCCCCGCGTGAGAGGCGTCGGCGATGAAGTTCCGTGCTCAGTTGCTTCGTCTCACCGCGAGGGCTTTTTGTGCCAACAAACCGTGGCCGAGGTGCGAGTGAATGTGCGGCTGCCCACATAAGCCATTCGGAAAGTTCTATACGGCCCTCGGGTAGGAAACTGTTCCGGATGCCTGGTGTAGAATGATGGCGTATCCTGCCTGGCCAATGAAAAGCGAGTATTTTTTCTGAAAACGGTGAACTCCTGGTTGTGATAGTTTACAGTGCCCAACAACCTCGGGTGGTCACGTTACCTCTGATCTCCTTGGAAGTTGTCATCTCCAGTGCCCACTAGAGGGAGCTACCATCAGATTTGTCCCGGATTGGGAATCCTACGTTCGTTACATGGAGAATTGGAGCGGCGACTATCGGCTAGCAACGACTTCCCAAAATAGTCTCAATATAACATGCATGACCTTATGGCTCTGAGCATCAAGGTGATGCTCGTCTCCCGTTCACAGCCCTAAGACAGCAGTCGCAATTCCATATTCATATGGCGGGGAAGAGTATGACAATAGCCTGCATGCGGTGCGAATGCATCTGTGGCCACGGGAGGTAATGACAGGGGTATTAGTTGTGAGTGTGAAGAGACTGGTGGCTCCGGGAATATTTAAGAGAGCGTGGTCAGGTGACGGAAGAGGACGGTGGAGTCTGCCCACGGAGCGAGCGTCCAGAGTCGACGAGAATTATCGAAGGGGGGCGTGGCCTCGGTTGGTATATTAGGGAGATGCGCGGGAGACTCGGCTATTACACAAATCAATATATGGCAGTGCAGTGAAATCACTCGAGTACCATGACACTCCTTACCGTAACATTTAACCCTGTCCCTGTAACATCGCTCGACCGTAGCGTTTAACCCCTAGTCCCTGTAACATCGCTCACTGCGTCGTTTCAAGAAGGTGGTGGCACCTCGAGGGTGAACTCCTCGGAGGGCCGGTCCGTCTTGGTGCGCACGAGCGACATCTTGACCCACGTGCGGAAGCCCCCAGAGAACGTCCACATGGACTGCGTTCGCTCCATCTGCATCATGAAGCTCGGGCGGTTGGTGCTGGGAGAGCACAGGGAGGGTGAAGGGTGACGGGGGGGGGGTGAGCGTTGGCGAGACGCAGGTGGCGCCCGAGTCGCCGCCTCCGTGTCGTTTGCCGAGCAAAATCCGGTGCGGGAAATTCGGATGCGGAGATAAACTCGCGCACACCGAGCAAGCCGGGCCAAATGTGGAACTTCAGCCGTCAATGCAACATACTTTTCTCACGAGCACTGTTTACGCAAGTTATGATACGTCCATTATGGCAGGCAATTGCTCGTTCAACCCTCCACACGCGAGGTGGTGACAAATATCGAGAACAGAGAATTATGTCGATCGTATTGCACACTTATTCTGGTTTCCACTACGTCACCATTGACCACGCCGATCTCTGTCGACCACAAAGGCGAGCAATGAAGGCGTGGAAATGTAACAACAGTCGTGATTAACGTGAGCAGCATGCGTGAGTTGGTCAGTCACACGCAGACATACCAGAAATAAAGTTGGGATATGAAGTGTAATCAGGGCCCGTTGAAACATTGAACCTAAAAGAATGCGGTAACCTACTTGCAGTATTGCCACTCTGCTTTACCGTGGACTGCAAGCTCCTATGACACCAGCCTCTCCCATGGGCAATCGCTTTCGTTGACTTGAACTAGGGAACTTCTGTTCAAGCGCTTTGCTCGCCAGTTGGAAGGCTGCGAGTTCAGATCCCCGGTTAGTGGTTAACTCAGCGAATCACCCTTCCGGGAGAGATAAAACGAACAGAAGTTGTGTTTCGCTCGCCCCGCCCCCATAGCAATGCAGAATTTCCAGCTCTCGCTCAGCAGGGCTGTAAACAGGAGATGAGCAACGCCCACGCTCGTAACAGTCGGAAACAACGCGGTCTCATTAATAAACAAGCGTTATCTCACGATGATGATGACGTGCCTACTTTTAAAGCATAGCTTCAGTGAGTGCCAAGACCGTTTTCAGAAGGGTCCAGCTTTATGATGTTTGGCCAGTTGTTTATTGACTTGTGGAATGTACAAAATGTGTTACAATGAGGTTGGCACTGGGATAGCGTTTCTCGAGTGCGTGACTCGAGCACGCACCGCTCACAGATACTTATCAGCACTTCTCGCTTCCTCCAGCCTCCCGCCTTCCGCTGGTTGAACTCGGGTTCTGACCAAGCGTCCTATTTGTGCCTCGCATTAGTGTCCTATAGTTTAACGGCCCCCGGCACGAACCGAAAAACTAGTAAAATGCCGCCTGAGTTTGAGGTTCAGTTAAAACCGCTGCCGCCTTGACCCCCGTGTGCTCCCACACCCACGTGGTGTGACCAAGCGTTGAGTGGAAATTTAATTTTTGTAATTTTTTGTGTCTTTGACCCCGGGTTTTATCTCTAACACGCAAGGGCATGGTGTGACAGTTATGCCATGAGATGGAGAATCCACTCAGATCTCTCACAGAGCAGTGCAACTCTTCATGTGGGAGAATCGCCCACAGAGGCAAGTATCACAGAGCCACCTCTGAGTGACCTCGCAAATTATAGTCAAACACAATAGTTTACATTCTTAACGCTGGAATTTTGGCAAATTATGCGTAGTTTTATATTTTTGTGCACTAATTGGGTGACCGGGCTGAGACCATCAACTCGTTACACCTGAAAAACCCATTTGCTAACGGGTGGCCAAAAGCTGAACGAGAACCCGGACTTCAGCACTTTGACCTCCGAATGACCCGGCCTCTTCCTAACTGTGTTTCTGTCGAGGAGGGGGTGAGTAAAAGGGCTCCATCTCATGGAATTTGGGAAGTCGCTCCATTTTGGGATTCCCATGGGACTTGCGCTGCAGGGGAAGTGAACGCCGCTCGGAAGGACGGTGGTGCGGGATTAGTCGGCTAACGGATGAAGCCGCTAAAACATTCAAGTCGACTACTTGTGGTGGTGGTGGCGGCGAGCACCTGCGCTCAAGGCTGACGTAGGAGGAGAAAAGTAGGTAGTCGATGGCGCTGAACTGCTGTGTGCTGCCGTTGAGACGGAAGTGGAGGAAGATTTGCTCCTTCTCCTGCACTCGCTCAGGCCCCCGCACCACCAGCGCACTCTTCTGCACGCGCGCAACCACGCACTTCCCATCACCGCGCTGCACGGCACTCCACGGCACTCCACGACATGGCGGCACGTCGCGGTAAACTGCACTTTAACTTTTTAAAAACCTCTAACCCCAATTCTATCCTGAATGCCCTGCCGCCTTCACGAGACGAAGGAACCCTTCAGATCTCGTGCGCGACCGCTGCGATCCTTCACGTTAGAAAATGGCTTGGAGAAGAGGATATTGTAGAGCTACTTCTGAGATCCCTTCAAGCAACATAGTAGGGGATGTTATTTTTCCACCTGCTCTACTGTATGAGAGTAATGTTCATCGCACGACAATCAAACTGACAGTTTTACTATATAACTGAAATTTGGTTATGTGCTGTACCCAATTGAAAGCCATTTATTTGTTTTGCAGTCATTGTTAACCAATCTGAGACCATCACCTCGTAACACTCCAAACCCCGGTCATTCACAGGCAGCCACCAAGATTCAAACACCAAGTTCTCCGCGTGCTGGCTCTGCGCTCTTTACCTTTGAGCCACATCACGGTACACAATACTTCATAGACACGTGCAGTACACACACCTCTCTCGCTGTGGCTGCAGCTACTGGCCACGTGCCACCTTCTCCGGTCTTAACGGCAACGTGCACAACATTCCGTGAGCAACTAAGCCCTAAAGCCCAGTAAACGAGACAGCTCCGCGCAGTAAATTACACGGAGCAATATAGTGCTGCTGCTCGGCACGCGACCTTTAAGTCAACATTCAAACCAACACTGCAGCCCAGCGGAACCGCAATCGCCGCCCGTTGCAGCGGTTCAAAGTTTGACTACGCATCATCTGTTGCGCAGTGGATGTTCAAGATCCCGTGATACCATTCGTAAGAGGAGGTCGTTGCATGCCGGCGTCAAGGTCAGGATTTGACAAATTTTGCAAAGCCACCCACGTTAGGAATATATATAGCCAACGTCACCCCCGACTGAGAACTTGGCAAGACCCTCCTGAAAAAAGAATAACGAGACTCGGGCTCTCCTGGGTAAACAAGCGTAGTAATAATAATGATAAAACACTGCAGGAGGTGAAGGACTACGTGATTAGCGTCACGTGAGCGTGCGCTGCCCCATCATCTGTCACGCCGCCACCGCACTGCGTGGTGCTTGTGGGTGCCGTGCGGAGAGCACCTGCGAGGTGTTGTGGTAGGGGTCGGGGTAGGCCACGGTGAGGATGTTGCACCGCACGTCCCCGGGCTGGCCGGGCCTCTCCATGACCGACACGCCGCTGTGGAAGTAATGGCGGCACGACAGCAGTTCGGCGCTGCCCAGGTAGAGCGCGATGCCTGTGGTGGGCGCACGGGGAGTAGCAGCAGCAGCAGCACAACTACAGCTGACGTCACATCAGGGTGATCCCCAAACCCAGCCTCAACCCCAAGTCTGACTCCGGATGACCCCAAAAAATACCCGAACCCCGCTTATGGCCACCCTGACCAGAGTAGCGCTGGTGGAGGGGGGAGGGCAGCGTACCGGGCGCGTCGTAGCGCTCCACCGCCTTGTACGAGACGGACATGGCCGGGTGCTGTGCCTGGTGCTGGAAGTCGGAGATGGACTGATACGCCACGAAGGAGGCGACTGCCGACAGCACCAGGTAGAAGACCACGAGCAGCACCGACACCAGGTTCTTGAGGCACAGCTGCAGCACAGGCAGCAGCAATCACCGCTACCACCACCGGCATTGATATTGTGCCCATAAACCTAACCGACTGTCTCACATTGCAGTCTTGCTCGCTTAGGGGACGCACCGATGGCAGCTGTCCCTGTGTGGCGTGAGGCATACGTAGCACCACTCAGCCACGCCGACGAGCAGTGCGACCCAGTTGTGTTCAATGTGAACGGGCTCTCCGGTGTCCTGCCACACGGGGCTATGAATGCTCATTGATGGAATCGGCCAAACACCCCAATGTAGCGAGACCCCCCAGAAGCACAGCCTTCACGTCTCAATGTTGTCTGGGCCGCTGGTAGTCAGGGAGGTGGCAACCAAAGCCAATACAATATGTATACTGGATGCGGTGTGCCGGGTGCAGAAATATTTTACACAAACCCGGCTGAAATTAAGCCCTGGTTTTGAGACCCGGTGAGGTTGTCCAAGATAGAGGGACATTATGATATTATAAATTACTTTGTTCACCTTACTCACGCGCATGCGAAACCTTCGCATGCCCCCCACCACATCCTCAGCTGTGGCGTCCCCCTCGCCCCCCACATCCACAACCTCGTCACCAGGTGGATCTTCCTCTTCGTCTGCGGGAGACACGCACCAACACCTCGTTAACGCGCCGCGTTCGGGGGACCCGTCCGACTCACTCCCCCTGGCCCCTGCTGGACCCCCGAAAATCCAGAACCCCCTGGGTGTGAGTGGCGTAGCGTGGTTGGCATGAACTCTGATCCCTGGGACCCCTGGGACCCCACACGTCGGGACCCCGTGAAGCCCTAGACGGCAACAACTCACCGTCGCCGACGCTGCCATTGGGTGAGGGGGTGACCTCCTCCTCGCCTCGTCTCTCCTTGACGACGTTCGCCTTCTCCTCATCTTCATCCAACTGAGACGACAACGCGTATAGAGAGGGGAGGGAGGGGGTGGGTGAGGAGAGGGGGTGAGGGGGTGGGTGAGGAGAGGGGGTGATGGGTTTGGTGATAAGAGGGGGTGAGGGGGTGGGTGAGGAGAGGGGGTGAGGGGGTGGGTGAAGGAGGGGGGGGTGGGTGAGGAGAGGGGGTGAGGGGGTGGATGAAGAGTGGGGGTGATGGGTTTGGCGAGAAGAGGGGTGAGGGGGTGGGTGAGGAGAGGGGTGAGGGGGTGGGTGAGGAGAGGGGTGAGGGGGGGTGAGGAGAGGGGTGAGGGGGTGGGTGAGGAGAGGGGTGAGGGGGTGGGTGAGGAGAGGGGTGAGGGGGTGGGTGAGGAGAGGGGGTGAGGGGGTGGGTGAGGAGAGGGGGTGATGGGTTTGGTGATAAGAGGGGGTGAGGGGGTGGGTGGAGGAGAGGGGGTGAGGGGGTGGGTGAAGGAGGGGGGGTGGGTGAGGAGAGGGGGGTGAGGGGGTGGATGAAGAGTGGGGGTGATGGGTTTGGCGAGAAGAGGGGTGAGGGGGTGGGTGAGGAGAGGGTGAGGGGGTGGGTGAGGAGAGGGGGATGAGGGAGTGGGTGAGGAGAGGGGTGAGGGGGTGGGTGAGGAGAGGGGTGAGGGGTGGGTGAGGAGAGGGGTGAGGGGGTGGGTGAGGAGAGGGGTGAGGGGGTGGGTGAGGAGAGGGGTGAGGGGGTGGGTGAGGAGAGGGGTGAGGGGGTGGGTGAGGAGAGGGGTGAGGGGGTGGGTGAGGAGAGGGGTGAGGGGGGGGGTGAGGAGAGGGGTGAGGGGGTGGGTGAGGAGAGGGGTGAGGGGGTGGGTGAGGAGAGGGGTGAGGGGTTGGGTGAGGAGAGGGGTGAGGGGGTGGGTGAGGAGAGGGGTGAGGAGAGGGGATAGGAGAGGAGAGGGGGATGGTGAGGTGAGTGGACAAGTTTCGAGCTGACAGATGAGACGCCATGGCGGTGGCGATGATGGGGAGTGACGATACTGATGCTGCTAATGACGATTCTGCTGCTTCTAGTGCTGCTCATGTTGCTACTGCTGTTGATGATGTTGTTGCTGCTGATGCTGCTGCTGATGTTGCTGCTGCTGATGTTGCTGCTGCTGATATTGCTGCTGCTGATGCTGATTATGTTGCTGCTGATGTTGTTGCTGCTGATGTTGCTGATGATGCTGCTGTTGTTGCTGATGTTGCTGATTATGTTGCTGATGATGATGATGCTGATGATGATGCTGATTGTTCCCCTCACCTCGGAGTAGGAATTGGCTCGAAACTCCGCGCGCATCATCTCCTCACGCCGCCATCTCAGCCGCGAACGCGCGAGAACTCCCCACCGCCTGCAGCAGCGACCGACGCCTCGACCGGAACTACCACCAACTACAATATTGACATCAACAATATAAACAAACAACAACAACAACAAAAACCACAACAACCACAACCGCTAAACGCGACTTGCGCTTGTGAACAACGGCGGCGGTCAGCAGCGTCCCCCGGCCCCGAGTTCGCCCCGCCCCCTCGGGTTGTCGCCCCGCCCACTCGGGTTGTCGCCCCGCCCCCTCGGGGTGTCGCCCCGCCCCCTCGTGTTGTCGCCCCGCCCCCTCGGGGTGTCGCCCCGCCCCCTCGGGGTGTCGCCCCGCCCACTCGGGTTGTCGCCCCGCCCCCTCGTGTTGTCGCCCCGCCCCCTCGGATTGTCGCCCCGCCCCCTCGGGGTGTCGCCCCGCCCACTCGGGTTGTCGCCCCGCCCCCTCGGGGTGTCGCCCCGCCCCCTCGGGGTGTCGCCCCGCCCCCTCGTGTTGTCGCCCCGCCCCCTCGGGGTGTCGCCCCGCCCCCTCGGGGTGTCGCCCCGCCCACTCGGGTTGTCGCCCCGCCCCCTCGTGTTGTCGCCCCGCCCCCTCTGCTTGTCGCCCTGCCCCCTCGGGGTGTCGCCCCGCCCACTCGGGTTGTCGCCCCGCCCCCTCTGCTTGTCGCTCCGCCCCCTCGGCTTGTCGCCCAGCCCCTGCGCCCACGTGACCCCTATCCCGTCCCCTTCCGAGCGAGACGAGAGCAGCCGCAGGGTCGAGAGACTCGGTCACACCACGTGGTCGTCCACGGGGGGAGGGGTGGGGCGTGAGGTAGAGGGGCGGGGTTGGGTGAAACTCGTGGATTTTGTTAACTTTTGACAAATTTTCATTTTTTAATTTAAAGCTTTCGTGACTGCAGGGATTCATATTCTTGGTTCTTTCGGTAAAGTCACGTAGAAGGGAAATAATAAAATAATATAAATATAAAACAATAAAAAAAATGTTTCATTCTTTTTTCTCCCTTGAATTTTGTTTGCGAATGTTCTTTTTAATGTTAATGAAGTACATATTTTAGTGGATATGTTTTTTAAGAGTTAAACATCAATGGAATGGTTTTGTTGTTGTTGATCGTTGTGTTGCAATTCATGTTTGCGTTGTGTAAACTTCCCGAAGTCGGCAACTCCTCCCCCTGGCCCTTGAGTGCCCCCACGTGACTCTCATGAGCCGGGTCACGTGGGGGTAGGGCAGCCGCCAGGGGGCGCCACGTGACCCGGTGTCACCGCGCGTGACCCCATGCCGACAGCGACCCCCACCTTCCCTACACCCAGCAGCAGCCATGCTCACTCCACTGCTGGGTGAAGGCCTCCCCACGCCGTCATCATCTCTCACAATCATGTGTTGACATAATCCCCCCCACTCCCCCCTCCACCTTCAAGGTGAACATTAAACTATTCAAACTTTTTATTTTACCAGGTAAGGACCACTGAGCTATATAGCTCTTTTTCAAAAGCGACCTGCCCACAAATCATAGGTCAACGGTAGTGGCTTATCACATGGACATTTATAGCAGCCAGAAAAACCCTAAAAGCATGTTCCTAAATGTGGAGGGGAAAACCGGAGGACACGGAGAAACATCCACGGGGAGAAACATGCAAACTCCAAATATACAGGCGTCAGGGTGGGATCGAACCCACGAACTTCCTGTATGCCGCGGTGCCCTTTCGACCCAGCAGCTGCAACAGCCATGTTCAATCCACTGCTGGATGACGGCCTCCCGACGCCGTGGCCATCTCTCACGTTCATTGGTTGTAATCCACCCCCACCTTAAAGGTGAACGACGATTGAAACCCCGCCCTACGCAACACAGGTAAGACGAACGCGGTTGGCTTTACCATCGACGCGCGCGGTGCTCGGCACGGCGCCCTGAGTGAGCGCACTTCCTGCACGTGGGGGCTTCCGCGTGGCGTCTCCTCCTGGGCGAGCGACATGGCGAGGAGCGTGGGGACCCATCGGGGGTCTGTGCCCCCGTGGGGGTCTATCAGAGGCGTCCTCGCAGTCCTGGCTCTGTCGCTCGTCGCTGTGGCTGCCACCACGGCAGGTCCCGGGCAACAGGAGGAGCCGGTGCGACTCTTCACGGATGCGGACATCGCGGAGTACAACGGCGACGACGTGAGGGCCCGCTCACCTGCCTGCTCACCTATTTACCTGCTCACCTGCCTGCTCACCTATTTACCTGCTCACCTAGTTACCTGCTCACCTATTTACCTGCTCACCTATTTACCTGCTCACCTATTTACCTGCTCGCTCACCTATTTACCTGCTCGTTCACCTGACTCTCTGCTCACCTGACTCTCTGCTCACCTGACTCTCTGCTCACCTGACTTTCTGCTCACCTGACTCTCTGCTCACCTGACTCTCTGCTCACCTGACGCCCTGCTCACCTGACTCCCTGCTCAACCGACTGCTCACCTTTCTACCTGTTTACCCCACGGGATTACCTGTGTACTCACCTGTCGATTTACCTGTCTGTCTGCATTCCTGCTCAATTGTCCAGACACACCTGTTCAACGTCCTGTCGAGCAGCCACCTCACTGTTCTATTTACCTGCTTGCCCATCTGCACGCATGTTAACCTTTCTACTTGGCAGCTCACCTGTATGCATACCCGTGGTCCTGCGCATCTGCTTACCCGTTCACTTGCCCCCTTGGTTATCTCTCCACCTACTTGCCTACCTCGCTACCTTACAGCAGGCTCACCTGTCTGAGTACCTGCAGGGGCCGCCGCGATCACCTCCCTCCCCACGTGCCTGCCTACCTGCCCATTCACCTGTGTCTGCCGGCATGCCTACCTGCACCCGGGGATTTTTGTGCCTGGGTCTGTGGGATCCAGGGTTTAGGGGTCCAATGCTGACCCCTGTGCACCCCCCCACCCACCCCTCTGTGCGCCCCCCCCCCCTCTGTCCGCCCCCCCCCCTCTATCCGCCACCCCCCCCCTCTGTCCGCCCCCCCCTCTGTCCGCCCCCCCCCTCTGTCCGCCCCCCCCCTCTGTCCGCCCCCCCCCCTCTGTCCGCCCCCCCCTCTGTCCGGCAGCCCGACAAGCCGATCTACATGGCCGTCAAAGGGGTTGTGTTCGACGTCTCCACGGGGAAAGGTGCGCGGGGGGTCACGTGGTGGGGGGAGAGGGCTTAGATATCCATCCGTGGGGGGTAGCGAGTGGGTGGGGGTTGCAATGATAATAAGTAGTAGCGAGCTTTGGCGGCAGATGGTGAGGATGAGGGTAACTGTGATGGTGATTGATTGCCATGCCGACTACGATTGTTGAGACAAATGAAGATGGCGATGAGGTTGTGATGATGATGGGCGCTGTTGCTCGTTATGCAGATGATGATGAGGATTATGACGATGATAATGGTACCGGTGATGGATGATGACAGTTATCGTTATTGAGGTTGATGATGGATATGTTTTTGACTATGAAGATGTTAGTGTAATGATCTTGCTGCTGCTGTTGTTGATGCTGTTACTGCTGCTGCTTTTCCTGCCCTACCTCCTCTGCCCCCTCCTGTTCGCTTCCATCTTCAAAGCATGCCCAGAGACACGCGTTTGAAGAGGCTTTTAGCCGAATTAAGTTGAGAGTAGTAAGCGGTGTTCAGTGCGGCTGACTTGATCTCCCACGTGGGGTGTGGAGGGGGCTGGAGGCGCCGCCGGGATTGTTCATCTCCTCGTGCAAACGTGATGGTCGTGATCGTGGCGGATACGATTGAGTTCGCTCCGTTAATGATGGTTTTGATGGCAGTGGTTGTGATGCTGGTGTAGCTGTTATGGTGAGAATGATGATGATAGAGATTTCCCAGTGAGTTTTGGCGTGGGTTTCATAAATAATAATTCGCTGTTGTTTTTGCTGTCAGTTTGCACATTCCCTCCACCTTGCGATGCCCTGTAACTGCCTCCACTACCGACGGTCTTGGACTGTGGTTGTCCTTGTAACAGAACTGCTTGGCTCAATGAAATAGGTATCTTGCCTTGTCGCTTGGCTCAACTGAAATAATCAAGCCTGATGATGATGATGGAGTTGATGATGATGATGTTGATAAGCAGATGCCTCGTGCCCAGCCACGATCAATGAATCCGCTCCCCACTCCATCAAACAATGACTGTGTGCTCCCCGTGGGGGGGCAGGGTACTACGGGAAGGGGGCCTCCTACAACGCGCTGGCCGGGCGAGACTCCACGCGGGCCGTGGCCAAGATGTCCCTCGCTTCGGAAGATCTCATCAGTGACACGGTGAGGGGGGGCAGTGGGGAAAAGTGGTGGGGTTTGGGGGCAGAGGGGGAATGGGAGCAGTTTTTCCACCCGCACCTAGGCCTCTTCCATATTTCACCCACCCCCTTCATGTCCCCCTTTGCCCTCGCCTCGCTGCAGTCCGGACTGACACAGGATCAGCTGGAGTCTCTGGAGAGGGTGTTCTCCGGGGTCTACAAGGCCAAGTACCCCATCGTGGGGTACATGGCCTACCGCCTGCTGCTCGCCGACGGCAGCCCTAACCCCGACTTCCACCCCGAGGAGCTGAAGGAGACAGAGCCCCGGGAGGAGCTGTGAGGGGGGGAAGTGATGGCGCTGTGAAGTCTCAACGTTCACCTCTTTCTGGCAAATAGCTCTCGTCATCTACCTCTGTGGTTGTAGGCGGTTGTGTGTTGGTGGGAGGCAATATCCTTCATTGTCTTCCGGCTCTGGCGAGCGATGGGACGACACTGCCCCGACCTAGCGGTGGAAATTCCACATTGCTGGGGCAGGATTCTGGGTGGAGGTGTTGGTGGTGGTGGGATGTGGTTTGTGTAACCCTCTTAATTGGCATGCAGGTTGCAGTGCGGGGAGGTTGAGGTGTGGTTGTCGAGTTGTGTGTGCAGTTGTAGGGCGCGGCTGTAGAAGTGGTAATAAACGTGGGTGCCGCGGCGTGAGATTGCCGTTCTCTTCATTCTTCCTCGTCGCTCGTGGTGACGTGGGGTGAGAGAGCAGCCAGACCAGGGTCACGACGGTGCACAGCGGGGAGGGGGGAAGAAGGGGAGGAGGGGGGGAGGGAGGGAGCCGCGCTCTGACGACGCTGACCCCACTGTCTCAAGGTTTTAAAAATTCATCAGACGCTGTGCGTCGGTCGGGCGCTGGGGAGAGGGGGGAGTGGGTAGATGACGTCATGGGGAAGAGCTGTCTACGGTGACGATGACCCGAATCGTTAATGGGATGAGGGCTGGGGACTGCGGGGAGAGCGAGAGGAGATGGACGGGGATGGAGAGAGGACAAGATGGGAATGGAGGGCGTGGGGGATATTGAGAGATGTAGGGGGGAGGGAGGGAGGGATGGAGTGGGGGCTGCTCCCCCCACATTGTCCCATTACCCGTGTCGTGTTACTGCTGCGACTGGATCCGCGTGGCCGCGTTGTCATGGAAATAAGGCATAAGTGACGTCTTCCCTCACGCCCGTCAACCACTCCCAAGCAGGTTCAACTCTGTGTTCGTGTGGAATCCACGCCTTTATTGATCCCATCTGCCCTCTGGCTCCATCAACATCATCAACTTCATCGTCATTAAAATCATCAAAATACCGCCATCAAAATCATTACCATCAAAAGTCATCAGCAACATATCATCATCACAATCATCAACATTATACAACCAGCATCACATGGACGAGATGTGCAATACGAGTGGGTGCTTCCGAGTCAGAAACTCCGCCGAGACTCCGAGATTTGTCTCAAATCCGCTGCGAGGTCACGGGACAATGTATGGGGTGCGAGGGCCGTGGGGTCACTGGAGCAGGCGGCGTTCCAGGGCCCCAGGGCCTCCAGTTCGCGACACCGTCTGCGCCTCAGTCTCTGATCCCATCCCCCTCGTACCTCAGTCGGGGACCTCCCAACGAGAGACGTCGCGGATCCTCGTTAGGGGCTGTATCCTCCAGGGTCGCAGAGTTCTAATTAATGAACATCAGCTACAGAGGTTCACGAGGCTCCAGATTTCAAATACCTAGAGGTCACTGACCTCCAGCGGAAATTGACCCGAGGGGTCATTGACCCAAAGGGTCACCACGATCTCGTTTCTCCAAGGTCACTGCCAGGGTGTGGGCTCACTTGCGCCATGATCTCCCCTCCAGCCCCATCTTCCCCTCCATCATGTATTCATTTATTCCTCAATTGTCCAGGATTCCTTGTGCAAGACATCATCACCAGATAACGTGTGAATATCATCATCGTTTTCATCATCATCGAGTTCTCTACGTGTGGTGTCTCCGAGCTCCATGTTCTGATGGCTTTGCTGGAGTTGGTGGATTGCTCGCAGACGGGCGTGCCCCTCGTCGTCACGTCCCATTTCTTTATCAGGGTAGCTCATCATATTCATCTCCACCACCACCGTCATCAGGGTATCCTCTCAACCATCATCATGACCGTCGCCGATGCACCTCGAGTGTCCGTGCCGCCTGGTGACGCCACGCGTGTAACCCGCTCTTTGTTCACGCGCGGCGAGGAGTCGGCGGACCCCGGTTGAGGGTTCGCGTGTGAGGGGAACCCCGCGGGGACAGCGGGGGTCTGGGACAGTTGGGGGTGAGACAGGGGAAGGGGGGGGGGGCGGTGGGGAAATGGGCTGGGGGTGAACCCCCGAGAAGCCGCATGAGGGGAGAGGGTGGGCGAGGTGGTGTTGGAGAGTTGGAGTCAAGGGGTCATTAGTCAAATTTGGGGGCTCCAGGGGTTCTTAGCGGGACCTGGTAAGGGTTGGGTGGGGGTGTGTGAGTGTGAGATGGGTCACGTGGCAGGGGGCGATAATGAGTGGGGTGTGGTGATTTTGGGGGGGGGGGGGGGGTGTAAAGGTTAAATTCAGGGCCAACGGAAGAGTGATGGGGTCGGGTACGGGAGTGATGGGGGCAGGATTAGGAGAGATGTGATTGGGTTATGGCCATGGTCAGTGTGAAGAGAGATGCGATTAAGGGGTCAATGTGACGCGAGGGGTCATGGTGGTGTTGATGGTGGGCATCAGGGATTGATGCGGTGAGTGTCGTGTGAGCGAGGGGGTGGAAGTCCTAGGGGCTCATGGGAGCATTGGGGAGCATGAATTCGGAGAGCCGTAGGAAGCTGAGATGACGGAGAGAGGGAGCAGGTGGGCGGCTCGAGAGGAGAGCTCGGAGAGGCGGGAGGGAGCAGGGGCGATAAAAGATCAGGAGAGATGAACATCAAAGGGACGCGGGGGATCAGGAAGGAGCGGAGAGGTGCAGCAGGAAGAGATTTAAATGCTCGGGGGGGGGGGGGGGTTTGGGGGGGGCTGGTCACGTGATGAGGCAGCACTGCCAGTATCGAGAGTGGATGTGCTTGGGGCGGCACGCGCGGCGCGGCCTCAGGATGGCGAGGATCGCTTCGTCAAACACGGGCTTCAGGCCCTTCTGCGTGAGCGCCGAGCACTCCAGGTAGCAATGCGCGCCGATCTGATTGGAGTGGCGGAGGGGGCACGGGGTGGGGGTGGGCAGCGGGAGATGGGGGAAGGAGGAGAGGGGGCATCACGATCTCCATTAAATATTTATACCGCACCTCCCATGCAGTACGGGGGGGCGGGGGGCAAGGGGTGGGTGGGAAGGGGGCACGGGGTGGGTGGTGGGGGGAGCACGGGGTGGGTGGTGGGGGGGGGCACGGGGTGGGTGGTGGGGGGGCACGGGGTGGGGTGGGTGGGGTGGCAGCAGGGCGCCGGGGGATGGTGGGGAGGCGAGAGGCTACAGGGGAGTGGGGGAAACAAGTGAGGACGGGGTCACATTGGGTTTGGCAAACGAGGTGAGGAATTAGGTGAGTGATAAGGGTGAGCGACAAGGCAAGGTACATGGTGCGATGAGGTGAAAGGGAGTGGTGGTTTCATGAATGTCGAGGTGAGTGTCTTGGTGAGGTGGTGAGCTCATACAAGTTGATTGACGAGGTGAGTGGTGAGTTGAATGTCGAGGTGAGATGTGAGGGCACCTCTTTGGCCATCCTCATGCCCTGCTCGTAAGGGATCGGCTTCTCCTTGATGAGGCCCAGGCGCGCGATCGTCTTGGGGTCATCACGGAGGTCAATCTACAGCGGGGCACACGGGTCACCATGGAAACCACACGGACCGCACACTCGCAACATTCGCCACGAAGTTATGGTGACTTCCCATACACCTGCTTACACACCTGGCCGCACACCACTGTCCGCACGTACACACACACCGGCCCGTACACACACACCTGCCTGTACACACACACACCTGCCTGCACATACACACCTACCTCTACATACAAAGATCCCCCATATAGTTTTAACAGACTGTAGGGGCAAGTGCTGTTAGCGAGCACCTATGAAGGCCGGAACGGTACACGAGGGGGTGGGTGGCCAGCACCACGCCCGACCGCCTTTGTCTCCCCAGTGGCGATGTTTACACTCCACACCAGGTACTCATTTGAGGCTGATTCTACCTAGGGAAGGCCCAGGACCGGTTCAGATAATCGTCACTGGTGTTTGCCATGAGCGGGAATCGAACCCGGGTCGCCAGGTTCATAGCGCAGCGCGCTAACCGCTACACTACCGCTCCCCACAACCTCTACATACACACCTCTCTGTACACACACACCCCTTCCTCTACACACACACACCTGCCCCGACACACACACACACACATGCCCCGACACACACACCTTCCTCTACACACACATACATGCCCCGACACACACACACACACACACCTTCCTCTACACACACACACCTGCCCCGACACATACACACCTTCCTCTACACACACACACCTGCCCCGACACACACACACCTTCCTCTACACACCCACACCAGCCCCGACACACACACACACACACCTTCCTTTACACACACACACCTGCCCCGACACACACACACCTTCCTCTACACACCCACACCAGCCCCGACACACACACACACACACCTTCCTCTACACACACACACACCTGCCCCGACACACACACACACCTTCCTCTACACACACACCCCTGCCCCGACAAACACACACACCTTCCTCTACACACACACACCTGCCCCGACACACACACACACACACCTTCCTCTACACACACACACCTGCCCCGACACACACACACACACCTTCCTCTACACACACACACCTGCCCCGACACACACACCTTCCTCTACACACACACCTGCCCCGACACACACACCTTCCTCTACACACACACACCTGCCCCGACACACACACACCTTCCTCTAAACACACACACCTGCCCCGACACACACACATGCAGACGCACCTGGGTGCCCACGAGCAGGAAGGGCACGCGCGGGAGACGCGCGCTCAGCTGGCGCACCCAGAGATCGCGCGCGTTGGTGAAGGAGGCCGGGTTCACCACGGAGAAGCACACGAGGAAGACGTCCGTGAGCGGGAACGAGAGCGGACGCAGTCCCTCGAAGTCCTCCTGGGCACAGCGCGATGGCTTACCGGACATGCCTTTCCAGCCATACTCACGGACATACCCTGCCAGCCATACCCACGGACATACCCTGCCAGCCATACCCACGGACATACCCTGCCAGCCATACCCACGGACATACCCTGCCAGCCATAGCCTCCCAGCCGTGCAATTTCAGCCATGCCCTGCCAGTCACGCCCTGCCAGCTATTCTCCTTACCTGTGCACTCCCAGCTATGCCCTCCCAGCCATGCCTCTGAGATGCATACTGCACCCATGCTCTCGAAGCAACGCAGCCATTAGTTATGCTCTCCCAGCCAGTCCCACTCCTTGCTTGTTCCCCAGCCCGAACCTGTCGCCTACCGCTCACCTGTCCCCCACGCGCGCTCACCTGTCCAGCGGTGTCAAAGAGTCCCAGCAGGTACTGCTCCCCCTCCACCGTCACGTTCACTGCCAGACACGCGCACCCGAGTCAGAGTCGCGCGAGGTGGCCCGTCGGGTCGAGCCGTGCTGACTCGTTGCACCCTTAGCGAGCACCTAGAGGGGCTGGTGTGGCCAGCACCACGCCCGCCCGCCCGCCTTAGCCTCTTCAGTGGCGACGTTTACAAAGCCCCAGGTACTCATTTAAGGCTGAGTCAACCGAAGGGAAGGCCAAAGACCGGTATAGATATTCGTCACTGATGTTGGTTGTGAGCCAGAATGTATCGAACGCGGGTCGCCGAGTACGTAGTGCGGTGAGCTAACCTCTACTCTACCGCTTCCCATGCACGCGTAGCCACCAATGCTTAGATACACACCCATGTACACTCCGATTTCAAAAAATTCCATCGAAACACACACCCATTGACACACACACACGTCTACATACACCCATTGACACACACACTACACCGATTGCTGCACAGACTGTTGGGACAAGAGCTGTCAGCGAGTACCTATTACATACAATGCCTACACCTACCACCGTCAGACACACACCAACACAGAAACACGCATACTACGTAGAAAGACACACATTAAATTCACCTATTCACATACGCAGCACTTCGCACGCACGCACAGCAACACAAAGACAAAGGCGCACACACACCGCTCACGCCCCACACCCACACACCTGTCCCAGGTACCTGTCCCAGGTGTCACCAGTGTCCCCCCAATCCCACCCCGGGATTTAGGCGTTGGACAAAACCTGCCCCCCACCTCCCCCCTTCACGACCCCCCCCCCCTCTGGCTGCACCACCCCGCGCGTCCGATCTCACCTGCGTAGTGGTCAAATACGGTGGGCACGTACTCCTCGGGGAACTGGTCATTGGCGTAGCTCATGAGCAGACAGGTCTTGCCCACGGCTCCGTCTCCCACCACCACGCACTTGAGCATGTCCATCGCCCGCGGCTCGCTTCCACCCTGTGTCCACCCTGCGCCCAGCTCGAGCCAGCGCGCCACCAGTGGAGCCGATGATGGTGTTCTTTGTGTGCCAAGTGTAAACTAGTCGCGCGCGTGCGCGTGTGTGTGTTTACATGTGCAGCGCGCGCGTGCTTGCGTATCTGTGTGCACGTAGCCTGGCACTAGCGCCGTGGTGATGTCATCGCTGCTGAGTGGCGAACGGTGGTTGTTGTGTGTTGTGTATCATAGCCGTGCATGTGTATATGTGTGTGAGTGTTTACATGTATAGTATTGTGTGTATGCACAGTCTGCGTATCTGTGTTTGTATACTATATAGTTAAGTGTGCATGTATGAATGTGTGTATATCTACATGCGTATGTATGTGTATACAAGTGCGTGTATGTGCGTATTAAGGTGTATGTATGCGTATGTGTATGCCCGTGTGTGTACACGTGTGAGTGTGTACACGCGTGTCTTTGTGTGTGTACACGTGTGTGTGTGTCACTATCTGTATGGCTGTGACTGTCGCGCCCCGCCCGTGCCACGCGCACACAACTGCGCGCCCCTGTCCATGGTGCTGATCCTGATATCGATCCTGATATCAATGCTGACGTTGATGATACTGATGACAACGCTACTGACAATGTTGATGCTGCTGCTGACGATGATGCTGTTGATGATAAGTATGATCTCAATACTGATAATACTGCTGCTGATAATGGTGTCAATCTCACTGAAGATGCTGCTGCTGATGATGATGATGATTGATGTTAATGTTGCTCATGATGATTTTTGATGCTCCTGCCGTCGTCTCTTCCCGTCAGAGTTCAGGAATCTCCCGCGCCGCTGAACCCGCGTCTGGGTCTCCCGTATCCCCGAATCCAACAAAAAGTCTCCCCGCGACCCTAGACCGCGCCCTGCAGCCGTGCTCCCTCCTCAGTCAAGTCCGGCCCCGGGTTCCTTCCCCAGCTTTTATCGCCAGCCCTGACCCCTCTCTCCATCCACCCCCGCCCCCCCGTTCGTGCTCCTCACTGGCCGCCCACGCTGGAGGCTCCATCGCCAGAACAATGACGTAATGGTTGGTGGCGCCCTCATGATATCAGCTGATCCACGCTCCCCCGCTCTCGCTGCCTCCGCTGCTTCTCCCCCCTCGCTCCCTCCCTTCTACCCGCTCGCCTGGGACATTACGTAATGCCACTGCGCAGTGTCTGGCTCGCTTCGTGTTCCTCCTCCGCTTCCCACTCCCACCCACATAACGGGATTCCCGTATCTCTGTTTCCCCTGACTCCCTCCACCCCACAGCCCATCCAACCGGATAGGAGCTGAGGGCTGCCCGACAGCCACTCCACCACCACCACCCCTCCTCCCCACCCACCCCTAAGGGAGGACACTGTCACCTGTGCGTGGGGTCGTGGGGGCATCCCCTGCGTGTGAAGCCAGTAAATCATGGGACCCACGGTATCACACTCCACGATGGGAGGCTGGTGCAGCATGGGAGCAGTCCAGGTGGAGCTGGGAAGATCACGGAGCGAGGACGATTGGAAGCAGTGGAGCTCTTGTGGAGCCAGTTAGAGCTAGATGGAGCTAAGTCGGAGCCTTGTGATGGCGTTGCCATTATGAGTAGAGCATGGGTGGAGCCGAGTGGACCGCGGATGGAGCTGTGTGAAGCCGGAATGGAGCCGGGTCGAGCTCGAGTGGAGTCGGGCAGGGCTTGGTGGAGCCAGGTGGAGCAGAGTTAGAGCCACGTGCAGCACGAGTGGAGCCATGGGGAGCCACGGGTGAGGGACGGTCGAAGCCGATGGAATCGTGGGTGTAGAGCATGGCTCGAGCCAGGTGGAGCACAGCTAGATCCACGCTGGAGCCGGCGTGGAACCACGCGGCAGCACAACCCCCCCCCCCCCCCGTTCATGTGCGGGGGGTGGGGGGGTTGCAAAGGTGCAGGGGAAATGAGTGGGCGCGGGTTGCGCTGGATTGAGGAGCGATATGCGAGCGGATATTAACAATGACGGAGTGGAATGGGTTTCTGGACGACATCCAACGCGGAGATGGAGCGATAGAAATCAGCTCGCGGTGTGCAGGTGCTGCTGGGCGGACCGTTGCATCGCAGGATTGTGAGAGATGGCGCTGGCTTTGGAGAAAGCCCTTCATCCAGCAGTGAATTCACCATGGCTTCTTCTTCCTAGCGTTGTTCCCGCTGTGGCACAGGGTCCGCTTTTCGGCATTGTCTTCTCCATTTGGATCGGTCCAGGGTATCTTCAGGGGATGCGTTGACCGTCTTCATGTCTTCCTTTAATCGATCCATCCATCGCTTCTTCGGACGTCCGCGTGGACGGCGGCCCTCTGGCTCAATACGCACGGCAGTCTTGGCCACTGATGACTCTTCACTTCGCATCACATGGCCGTACCACCGAAGCATTGCCTCAAGCATCTTGTCCGCAATGGGGGCCACACCAAGTCGCTTCCGAACGTCTTCGTTCATGACACGATCCCATCGAGTCAGTCCAAGGCTCCAACTGAGCATCCTCATCTCCATGGTATGGAGGGCTTGTTCGTGTACAGTTGTGGCTGGCCAGCACTCGGATCCATAGAGTGCCACCGGTCGGACGATGGTCTTGTAAATTTTTCCCTTCAGCCTATCCGGCATTTTCCGATCACAGAGGACTCCAGTGACTTGCCTCCACTTCAGCCATGCCGCATTGGCTCGTGACCTCACACCAGTCGTGATGCTTCCATCTGAGCTGATGGTGGAGCCCAGGTACTTAAAGTCCGTCACTTTCTTCAGATCTTCTCCGTCAATGATGATGGTGCCGTCGGTTTGGGGGCCACACTCCATATACTTCGTCTTTTTGATGTTGAACCTCATCCCGATTTCGTCCAAAGTTCCTTCCACATGCGCGTTTGTCTTTCCACTTCTCCTCTCTCTTCATCTGAGAGGAGGACGTCATCCGCATAGAGAATTGACCATGGCAGGGGCGTGTGCAGGTCGGCAGTGATCGTGTCCATGCACAGGATAAACAGGAGTGGTGACAGGGCCGATCCTTGGTGCACTCCAACGCTGATGGGAAATGGCGGTGATATGCCCACTGCACACCTGACTGCACTGGTGACGTTCTTGTATAGGAGTTGCACCCAATGCACGTAGGTTTCAGGGACTCCATGGGATCGAAGCGAGTGCCAGATGAGGTCGTGGGGGACCATGTCAAATGCCTTTTCAAGGTCGAGGAACGACACGTGCACAGCTGTGTTCTTCTCTCTGTGCCTCTCCAGCAGGAGCCTCGCCGCGAATATGGCGTCCGTAGTGCCACATCCTTTGACTTAGCCGCATTGGTTGGGTGATAGGGTGATGATGTTTATAATCCTCGTGTCCAAAACTCGCTCAAAGATCTTCATCGCATGACAGAGGAGCCGGATTGGCCTGTAATTCGAGCATTCTGCCACGTCCCCTTTACCCTTCCAAATTGGAACCGTCGTGCTGGTCGACCAGGCTTCTGGGACCTCACCGTTGCTCGTGATGGTGCTGAAGAGCTGGGTAAGGAGGGCAGCACCCTGCCTGCAAGGGTCGGGTGCTTCACCATGGCTAATGTAATTTATTAGAGCCGCGCTGAGACCCAAGCGCATGTCTGCACCGGTTTTTTCGTGATGTCTCGGAGCGCGATGCGCGTGCACGCGGTCGCGTCTGCGCGATCGGGGATCGAGGGTCTGTGATGAGCACAGCTGCGTGTGTGTGTGACCAAGCGTCGATACATCGATGAATATCCACGCTCGACCTAAGCGATCCGCCCTGATAATCGGTGGTGGGGCGCCGAGGTGGCGAGGAGACGGTGCGAGGAGATGACACGCAGGGTAGCGGGTTCGATCCGGGACCTTGACGAAGCGTGTTGTCTATTTAGAGTCCGCGTGGTATCGCTCCTCGTGCTGGTCACGTGGATTGTTCTCCGGTCCCCGCCGGTTGTGCCCTCCATGATCAGAAACACGCGTTACGAATATTTGGCTGAAACTGTACATTCCCACATGTGATGATATAAGCCACTTCGATCGGCTTTCGTGTGTGGCCGGGTCGCCTGCGAAAACGAGTTCATATAGTTCAGTGGGCTTTACCTGATAAATAATAAAATATTAGTTTAGTTTCATATGAACCGATGAATTTCTATTCGTTTGGGTCGTATTTAATGGGCCTCACCGTGACCCCCTCCCAGCCACTGGAGGTCGCTGCATTCACAACTGGGCTGTCTGGAATGCATCGTGACCAGGTGGCGCGGTCTGTTCGCGTGTTTGAGAGCGGTGGCGGTGTGGTTAGCGCACTATGCTACAAACCCCGAAACCTGGGTTAGATTCCTACCCACGGCTAACATCAGTGGCGAGTGATATCTGTACCGGTCCTGGGCTCTCTCCCCCTCAACCATTCACCAATCCACACTGACGAGGCGTGGTCAAGTAACACCCAACACGGCATGCGGAAGCCTTCATCTAGCAGTGGATTGACGCCTCCGATTGGCACGGTTGGCTTCGTACGTTGCGAAATAAGTACAACATGCAGTACATGTGCATTGTTATAATTTAATTTAATTACAATATATGATATTATGAAAGCCGTACCACCTGTGGTACATCTTTATAAAAGCTCCAGAGTTCAAATGATAGTCGACTTAGTCTTCCATACCCATCAATAATTATCTCTCAGTGGCCAAAAAATTCACTACCACCTTGTGGGAAGTTGGCAGTGGTTGTCATACAGGATATAGCAAACGTGATGGTATTCAGGAATCGTGGTGGGAGGTCAATGTGACCCCCTTCCCCACCCGTGACACTGTGTCCATGGAGCCGGTGCTGGAGTCACTTACCGGTGGGAGCCCTACATTAACCATTATAACTTCAGGCTCTATGCCCGAGCTCCGGATTAATTATAGAATGAGCACTCAAAGTCCCCTTCTGCTGGCTCCATACTCTGGGATTCCAGGCTCCTGACTCTAAACCTGGTCCGGGTTTTGTACACTTGATATCAGGCTACACGTTCGGGGTAACAATTTACCTTGCCACGGATTAAAAGTTCACTACCCACGCTCCAGATTCCGGGTTCCTAACACCAAACTCCATGCACTACTTTATCTGATGCAGGCTGCGGGTCTTGACTCCAGGCACCAGTTTCTATACTCCATTATTAGGCAGCGGACCTCTGGATCCAGATACAAAATTCCCGGCTCCAGGTTTCGTGTTCTCCAGTCCAGGCTGAAAACAAACAGCACGCTCCAGGTTTGGGTTTCTCCACCATAATATTCTAAATTCCAAGTTCCAGGCTTCCGAACTCGGATTCAAATCTTCAGACCCCATGTTCCAAATACCCTATTCCGGGCTCCGTTCTCCGCACTCAAGGCTCCATGTACTCCATACTCTAAACTCCGGGCTCCGGGTTTTACTTCACTCAATGCTACAAATTCAGCTCTCCGAGTGCCTTTCTGTTCACTCCAGGCTCCGGATTCCGAGCTCCTGTTTTTAGTTTCTCCACTCCAGGCTCCGAATCCCTCCCTCCGGGTTGCCCCTCCTGCTCTGGGGCTCACTCTTTGAGTTTGTGCTGGTGGAAGATGAACGCGATGATGCTGAGCGCGGCCCGTGGCCTTCTGCTGCTTCGCGGAGGTGCCAGGACCTCTTCGTCCCTCCTCTCCTCCTCATTCTCTTCCGCGGGTCCTCGGGCCCTGAGCTCGGCCGCCGACGCGGGGACCCGGGACCGCATCGCGGGGCTGCTGACCCAGGACCGCGTGGTGGTGTTCATGAAGGGGGTCCCCTCGCAGCCCATGTGCGGATTCTCCAACGCCGTGGTGCAGATCCTGCGCATGCACGGCGTGGAGGGGTACACCTCCTTCAACGTGCTGGACGACGAGGGCCTGCGGCAAGGTGCGGCACGGCGAGGGAGACCTGGGCAGGGGTTATCGAGGGGTCCCGGGGACTCGGGGTTTAGAGTTCCGTGGAGTACTGGGGGTATAGGGTACGGAGAGGTCTGTAACCTGTTGGGACTACTGGGACCTGTTGCAGGGTCCAGGCGAAGTCCGACTTTGGGGGTATCTGGGTTCCTTTTTGGTTTCGAAGTAAAGTGGTGGGGTAGGAACAGGGGGGTTGGGGGATAAAGGGGGGCTGGGGGATTTGTGAGAACATCGATTTGGGGTTTTTCGGATGTATCAGAGGTACCTGAGTATTTGGGGGGAGGGGGGGGGGGTCATTGGCATACGGGGAGGATAAGGGAACTACGGAGGAGTCCCAAGGTCCGCATGGATTTTGGGAATCCCCGAAGTCTCAGAGTCTGGTAGACCCGGGGACCCGACCCGCTTGCGGCCTACTCGTCTTGCCGGGGTATGGGCGCGCGATCCCGGCTAGTGGCGCTAGTACCACGGCCTCTCGTCGGGCTGACTCGTGTTAATGGCCGGTAGACATGTCGGTGTGTTTTGAGAGGCGAGTTTCCAGTTTAGTGTGGTTATTGTAATCCGTGATACTGTGTGCGTGTGTCTGGTTGTTGTTGTGGTTGTGGTTGTTGCCGCACGAGCTGGGTGGGAGTTATTGAAGTGTCTGGGCCGAGGCGTGGAGCCTCATGTCATCAAGGTCGTGGTTGTGTTGACGAGGACGGAGGGCTTTGTGTGCTGTGTTTAAGCGTAATTGTGTCATAGTTGTCGTGTCCTCCGGATCGTAAGACGCTCTGGAAAGTTAGACGCACACCCCAAGCTCCTGCCCGGTGTCAATAAAGTTATACAATTCTGGTCACATTGACCGGATTATGTACAATAGAAACACAATGTTTGTTCCTGGGTACCTAGTGTTATTGTTTTATTGCTTATGCCTAAGAAGTATAGAGAATGGTTATTATTCCCCACAAACTTTGCTTTTGTGACCAGGACTTTATATGAACGAAAGACACAAATGCACACCACGTTTTCTCATTGAAAATGGGTCAATTTCAAAATATCACTGTCCTGGTCACAAGCAAAGTTTGTGGGGAATAATAGCCATTGTCTGTACTTTTGAGGCATAAGCAATTATGAATTAATACTTACTAACCAGGGACAAAAAGTATTTTGTTACACAGTACAGTGTTATTAATGGAGTGGATTATAATTTTGCTTCCGTGTCTTTGTCACAAAAGCAAAGTTTGTGGGGAATAATAGACTTTCTGTACTTTTGAGGCATAAGCAATTAGGAAATAACACTTACTACCCAGGAACAATTTTTGTTTGTTACACAGTGTTGTTATAAGACGCCACTGCAACGCTTAAGGGGACAAAGCGAACACGTTTGTCACCATCAGCAGCAACCATGGTCTTTCCACTGCTGCATTAGAGCCCCCCTCCCCCACACGCCTGTTCGGGTCGTGAGGGTTCGCTACTTGACCGCCTTGCTTCTGCGAGCCGGGTGAGAGCGGGGCAATATATCTCCGAGTGTAAACTCCGGGTTGTGGAAGTGCCCATCAACATCTTTTTGGTTCTTTCGGTAAAGTCACGTAGAAGGGAAATAATAAAATAATAAAAATAAAACATAATAAAATAATTCTCCCGACGTTTCGGCCACAACGCAAGCAGCCGTCCTCAGGTGAAGAACAGGTCTGTCGGAGAGACAGCGTCTGAATGAACACCACCAGGCTTGGCAGCGTATATTTAAGCTGGGTTGGAGGGGAGTTTGCTGCCCTGCCCACTGCTGCCCCCACCGCTGCCCACAGCTGCCCACCACGGAGCTTCATCGCCTGTACTGAACGACCTGTGTTGTTGTGCAAGGTGGTCGCCCATACAATGTTTAAAGCAGATTTAAAATTGCGCTTGGTATTTTTTGATATAATCCGACCCGGATCATTTTGGTCATGGGCCCATGATTACAATAATAACAATAATATACTGTGACAGGTTATCTTCTTGGTTCTTTCGGTAAAGTCACGTAGAAGGGAAATAATAAAATAATAAAAATTAAACATAATAAAATAATTCTCACGACGTTTCGGCCACAACGCAAGCAGCCGTCCTCAGGTGAAGAACAGGTCTGTCGGAAAGACAGTGTCTGAATGAAACGTCGTGAGAATTATTTTATTATGTTTTATTTTTATTATTTTATTATTTCCCTTTTACGTGACTTTACCGAAAGAACCAAGAAGATGAATCCCTGCAGTCACGAAAGCTTTAAATCGAAAAATGTGACAGGTTACGTTAACCTGATCATGAAGAGGGCCAGCCGTCTGAAAAACACAAACTGTACTCGGTGGTGATCAATATCAGAACTGGTTGGAGGCAACCCCTGCAACCCGCACTGGCCAACGTGGTGAAGTATGGCCCAAACAACCGCCGTGGGCCGACACGGCGTGCAGCACTGGATTGGCAGTCAAGCAAGCATTGTGTTGTTGGTTGGGTTGGGGCTGTCTCTTGGTTTGCGACCTTAAGTAGTGCAAGAAGCTGCGCTAAGCCTCTCCTTCCCTTATTTGGGAGCACCACACCTCGGTTTTATATTGTTTACAGAGACAAATATGGGAGGGGAGGCCTTATTCATATTGCTGCCATCATTCTCCACAGCGAAGCGTAATTGTTTGTTGTTGATTTGAAGCTTTCGTGACTGCAGGAATCCATACTCTTTGGTTTTTTCGATAAAGTCACGTAGGTAGAAAATAAAATAAATCACGACGTTTCGGGCGCAACGCAAGCGTCCACTTGATGATGGACGCTTGTGTTGCGCCCGAAACATCGTGATTTTATTTGATTTTCTACCTACGTGACTTTACTGAAAGAACCAAAGAGTACGTAATTGTTTGTGTTTAGTGGTGCGTGGTCATTTTCTGTGGGGTAATGTTGCAATGGCCGCAGCTCGGTGGAGGTTGTGATGACCCCGTTCCTTTGAACCTGGCACACGATACAAAAATAACCAACACGCGGCATGGGATCTTCTCAAGATCAGCCTTGGGACCATCCCTCCCTCGGTTTCTGAGCAAACGTACGTAAACAAAATAAATGGGCCCCTCTTTGATTGAGATAGGTTATAATTTATAAGCGTGAAAACGCGTGCGTCGTATTAGTTTGTGAAGCAGGTGTTTATTTGTTTTTTTGTGTTTTTAATGGAAGCTATGTAATTCCTAGAGGGTTCTAATGGCTCTTACCAATATGAGACGAGCCAGCAGCAGTTGTTACAACAGCTCCGCACCCTGCTGATGAGACCGACAGAACTTAAAACCGTTCCAAGGGTTTCGCTGCTGGCAAAAATGTTGCTCAAGAAGGCTCATAGGCCGATTGCCTAAAACTATTTGTCCACAGAGACGAACTGTTGTTGGCCATTTAAAGAAAAATAATAGTATTTTAGCCACAAACGCGCTATAAAATTATCCGCAACAAAATAATGTCGTGGTCTATCGCGTCCGCTTGTGTGTGTGGATTGTGAAACGCACTTTGCCATTCTTTGTTCTGGCCTGCTGTGGCCAGCTCCTAGCCCGTCCAGCCGTGCCGTGCAACAGCTGACTGAGACCTGCTGTGTATGCTGCTGTAGCTTTAGCGCACGGTAGCCTGACGCTGTCCCGTGAGCTGCTGTTTGCGGTTGGGTGACTCGGGTCTGCCATGACCTCCCCGTTCATTTGCCGAGACAACACAGGCTTTTCACCGTTTACCGTCAGTGATGACGAACAGTACTCTAATAATATCTGCTGCAGGATGAGTATAATTGTGGCATGGCCACGTGAGGATTCCTTTGGCGCGAGGCTATATATAGTTACGCAAACACAATGAGTCCCCATTAGCCATACAAACTGTTGGGGCAGCTGCTGGTAGCGAGCGCTTTTGAACGCCGCCGGAATGGCACACACCTCTGCATTTGTCTGCCCGGTGCTGATGGTCACACTTCTTCACTCTATATAATCATTTATAGCCGAGTAATTTCATGGGAGGCCCAGAACTGCATCGGATAATTGCCAATTATGTTCGCAATAATGATACACCAAATAATATACTCGCCTTATCCACACACCAATTATAATATTTGATCTATCACACTGATGCATTACAACTCTGCTTACAACAAGTCGTGTACGATATGAGCAATGACGGGCTGTTATGTAATGATTTTACATAATGTGAAAATTGTAATAGGGGTGGGGGGTAAACTCTTTACACCCCCCACCTTTGGGGGGTTTAGCAGCGCTGCAGTGTGTAGGTCACTTCCCCATTGAATCCCTGCAACCTGAGTTCAACGATACTCTTTGGTTCTTTCGGTAGAGTCACGTAGGTAGAAAACTAAAATAAAAAATAATATATCACGACGTTTCAATCGCAACACAAGCGGTTGTCCTCAGGCACTATTATATATATTATATTATTTTTTCTTTAATTTTTCAACCTACGTGACTTTACCGAAAGAATCAAAGAGTATGGATTCCTGCAGTCACGAAAGCTTCAAATCAAGACTGGGTTCAATTCTCAAGCCATGGCAAACATGAGTGGCGAATAGGGTTGCCACCTGTCCAGGTTTCCCCAGGACATGTGTTTGAGGAGGTAGCCACTGTCTTTGAAAGCCTGTAAGTCTTCCCAGAACATTGACAGTTCCAGTTTGTGGCCGTTATGTAAAAGTACAAATATTGCATCACCCAAGACCATGCATTGGCTTGTATTTGCATCTTCTGCTTTTATGAGACATCCGTATTTCTTCTCATTATTTGTTGTCACATTTGATGTTGTTGATGGTATTAAGAGGAATTCTTCTTACTGCCCATGCGTGGACCTGTGCCCACGAGTGGTCGTCATTGATACAACTTAGTTGGTTTGATGAACAAAAGTAATGAAATAATATCCTGTATTTGTTAATATTTTTACACACACAATACAGTGGTGACCCTAGTGGCGAGTGGTGTCCAAACCTAACCTGGACGCCCCCCCCTACCCGAGTGTGCGAGTGCTGAAGTAGCAGCATTTATGACCGTGGCGCTGCGCAGTCCGGAGGAGGGAGGACATCAGTTTCCGAGAGCCGGCTCGGCCAGATGTCACAACTCGGCACGCGCCTTTCACAACGGACGAGTGCACGGCACGAATCTCGAAGTCCTCTCTGGGGACGACCGACCCCCGCCGTTTGCGACACATGGCTGGCTCCCAGCACCCCGCTCGCGCATTTACCGATAACTGATGATGGCTACTCGATACTGCCCACCGCAGCTGCTCCCTCCCATTAGTGGCCGAGCATATGGCAGGCGAGGGTATTCGTCGCCTGAGCACTGTGATGTGCCTTCCGCTTTAGGGGGGCTAGATAATTGTCATCGTCGGCCACGATCTATGCACTGTTGAGGGAAGGCCTTCCCATGCCATTGTATCACATTTACCGTGTTTTCCGGATTCTAAGGTGCTCTGAAAAGTGAGACGCACCCCAAGCTTGTGTCCAGTTTTCAATAAAACAATACCAATCTGGTCACGCACACACATAGCTACTGGATTATAAGACGTGCCCCCAACTTTTGCTTTAAAATACAGAGGCAAATGTCTCTCGTAATCCAGATAATATAGTCATCATTGAAAGCTGCGGTTTATCCACTGCTGAATAAAGGCCTTTCCACGGCGTCGCCTATTCACACGGTCCAGTACTGCTACCATCCACCTCACTTTTTCGCGTAACTGATCTCATCATCACTCCATCACTGCCATGGAATGCCAGTCGGTTACCATCACAAGAGTGTAAATGTACAGCTCTATTATCAATCCACTGCTGGATGAAAGGCCTTCTCACACTGCGTCAGTCATGGGGGTTGTTTTTTATCATACTCCACCATGCCGGTCATGTTTGGAAGCGGGGGGTGGCCCAGATCCGTTTGAGACGTCTCTCGCCACTGTTGTTAGCCATGGCCGAGAGTGTGCAACCACTGTCCCGCCGCTCCGATTCTCTTTTTGTGCATTTAATCGTTTTTATTGGTGGACGTTGCGTGCGCGGGAATGTTGTGCAACGTCTCCAGCCGCAATCACATGCGAGTCTGACGATGTGAGAGCTGGGGACTGGTTTCTCAAGTTGCGGTTTTGCTTCGGGGAGAAGCGGTTGGTTTTTCACACCTCGAAGAAAATACCTGATCCTCGAAACGAAGCGTAATTTAATTATGTTTGCATCTCGGTGAGAATCTGCCCACCCCCTGTGCAGGTTGTACTGTACGTGTTCACTTTCCTAGCCTTCGGTAGGTCGTGCCATGAAGCGAATGCATTACCCCGAACAGGACATTAACAGGGGTTGTTTTCTGTATGGACTGCCTCCTGCCATAGCAATGTGGAATTTCCTCATTGCTCAGGGGTCTGAACAGGAAGTGAACACCACCCAACACTTTGCTTGAGCAAGGAAACTGTTTTGGAATCGCGTTTAGAGTTGTGTGGAACTGGGTAAAATATTTCACCTCCAAAGCGTGGTAAAGTATGGTCAAACAATCCCCATGACTCGGACGACATGGGGAGGCCTTCATCCAGCTGTGGATTGGCAAAGGGCTATAGATTATTATAGTATTTTTTTTTACGTTCGCACATTATCGAACATGGCCAAGAATATAACATTTTGTGATAACCTTTTAAAATGCGTGGGTTATGCGTCAAGTCATCGCATAATCCACCGGTACTGATGAGCACAGCTCCGTTCTCGTGAGCGCCGTCACGAGACGGGATGACACCGCCAGCGGTCGAGACGAATGACAGTGGCAGCCAAGGGAGGGGATACGAGTACGCAGGTTTTTGTGGTTGTGCTGTGTTCCTCTGCAATGTATTTTCGGGTTCGACTGCGTTTTGTTTGGCATGATGTCCGCCGCTTTGCTTTATATGCTGTGAGTTTATTCGGGAACTAAATGTCCCAGCACATGCAGTGAAATGTTGGACGTCTTGCCGAACAATGCAATGTACAACCCGAAAACGCAGGGAAAAAGGGGCCACACACCCCCAAGAGCACATCCAGTGCAGAGATGGAGCTGTGAAATTGGCTCGCACGCAAGTGCTTGTCAGACTGCTTATTCGCAGGCCCATGAGCGATGACGATGGCTTGGAAGCCTTCATCAAACAGTGGATGGATCATGGCTGATGATGATGCTTCTTTAGCAACACGATACAACACCTGGAATGAGCAGTGGGGGGGAAGGAGGAGAGAAATTGCTCGTTTATCATTACTGCAGCCATCATCATCATCAGCCATAGTCAATCCGCTGCTGGATGAAGGCCCCCCTCCCCCCCCCCCCCATCGGCCCCAAGCCATTTCCATCTCTCACGGTAGCCTGTGTCCACGTGAAACTTGTCACACTTCGCGTGCGGAGAGCGTTGGCCGGAGAACACGACCGGCTCCGCTCGTTTGTCACACGACCAGGTTTCCGGCATGCAGCCATTTCTGCCGGTCCGAGCATTAATAATCGTTGGCCGGGGGGGGGGGGTGTGGAGGGCCAAACTCCCAGGCTAAGTGCCGTCGGGCGTTTGGAATTGAAACCGCGACACGTGGGCATGAGCTCATCCCGGTGCGTGCGGCTCATGGCCCTGGTCAGACCCCAGCGAGGGCTGGGGTGGCGGCCGCGATGGCGCTTAAGTGATTTTTAAAAATGTCTCGCACACAGAAACACGATCTGGCATGGGTGGCGCAGTGGGTTCGGGGTGCCTGGCTCGCAGTCGCAAGAGTGCGGGTTCACATTCCGGGCAGGGGTTGTTTGAGGATTGCATACGTCCCAGGGTCGACGGATTGAGTTTTTGCCTTACGGGAAGATATAAATATTGGTTGTCCTGAAGATGGACTGGCTACGATCGTCGAAATGCGGAATTTCCAGCACTGTTTGAGAGCTGTGAACAGGAGATGATGAGCATCCTTCGGTTGAGTGGGAAGCAATTTTCACTTTTAAAAAGATAAACATGTCATCATGGTAGACTTTGGTACAATCCATTTTGGAATGCGGTTGCATTTATATGCTCTTTAAATCCAAATTGTGTAACGTGTTATTAAACACACGGGTAATTACGCACACATACACACACTTATACACTCGCACAAACTATTTTTTTTATTCCACTTTAACGTTTTACAATCCAGATATTGCAATGCTGCTCTGTGATTGTTAAATACTCTGAACTCAACCTGCATGCTTGATCACCTCTTTCCACCCGTTTTATATTAAATATTGTCGATTGCACATTCGTTCCAGGTCTCCCCCGAGACGGTGTTAGTCTCTCAGCTGGTGATCAGCAACGGTCACACCTCACTGTCTGTTGTTAAAAGCACGTTTGAGAGCAACTCCCTTCTGCGTAAAATGAAAACAAACCTTTGACTCTGCATACAAATATGATCCAGCAGCATCCGTTTAAGCACTCAAAGTCCTGGACTGGTTTCAACCTTCTGGATCTCATCAGCAGTCAGGCTTGCTAAACAAATGCTGATGGGTTACCAGATGTGATTTTTTTGGATGCGTGTGTAGGGCTGCTGTGAGGCTGAAACGCGATAAGCCACGGCACAAATTGCATTGACGCAGCAGCAACAGCAGCAATAATCTTGTGTGCAGGTGCTCTGCTGATTATTACCGGAGTGGGAGAGGGGGCGGCTGTTATGAGAGGCCTTCATCCAGCAGTGGATTGACCATGCCTGAAGACTAACTGACTCTGCCACTGTTCCTCCGTTGCACCCCGCAGGCATCAAAGAGTACACCAACTGGCCCACCATCCCGCAGGTGTTCTTCAACGGGGAGTTTGTGGGCGGCTGCGACATCCTGCTGCAGATGCATCAGAACGGGGACCTGGTGGAGGAGCTCAAGAAGATCGGCATCCAATCGGCACTGCTCGATGAGGGGGAGGCCAAGAAGTAGCGCGCGTGGAGGGGGGGGCGCAAGCGCACACGCAGGAACACGCACACGCAGGCACACACACACATGCACTTATATACACGCACGCACTTATATACACGCACGCACACACGAACATGTGCACGCACAGATTTAAGCGTGTACTTGCATACGCGCACACATACACGTACGCAGCACACCTCCAGACAGAAACCCCTGTAGCATTGTTGGGGCCATGCACATATGCGCGCACGTTCACATGTACACGCACGTGCTTGCGCGGCCAGCATGGTAAGATTCGGCCCCCTCAGACATTCGGCAAATTGTTACGATCTGGGATATGAACTCTATTCGGGGTTGGTTTCTTTTTGACTAGCAACTGAGCTGTCTGCAGGAGTCGCGTGAACCCATTAACAATAGGAACCGACCAGAGATGCGATCGACTGTTACACGCACGATTCTTCTATGCATGGATCGCGAGCGTAAGAGTTGATTTTTTATTTCTAATCGATGCGTTGTTGCACACCTGAACGCCCACGCCACTGGTAGGCACATCATTACAGACGAACTCATCGGTCGATGCCTCTTGCCACTTTATACAAAGTTACGCCATGCGGACGGCGAGTGTGTAAGCGAGCATATTGGCTTGTGCAGGGCAGGTATTTGTGCTCGGAAACAGGGGCGATGGATCGTACGAACACACGGGCTTGTCTCACATTTAACCCTTGGACACCAGCAACAGCGGGTGGAGGTTATTTGACTGGCTTTGAATCTCGGATAGAAGTTGAATTTTTCCACTTTGGGAGGGGATGTGGGGGTTGTGTTGGGGATTATTAACAGGGAGAGGGCTGGTTTTAAATCACATGGACACGGATTCCCACGCGGCGCCCAGCTACCCTAGCGACAACCAAACTCCACGTCACCGGGGCAGCCCGATCGTGAAGTCTGCCCCCTAATAATTATGCTAAGTCATGTACAGTGTGTGCCCCCACCACTAATTCCTTCCCTGTATCAGGCCGATATAGCTGTATATAAACCTTAAACAGGAGCTTAATCGTGTGAGAACTCAGTGCGAGTTTTTTTTTTCTTTCCCCAATGCGAGTGTATTTGTCTCCACGATTGGGATACGTGGAATGACTTGGCTATGCGTAAATGCTTTAACCGGAATGTACCAGCGGCTACTCTCCCCTATCCCCTGCTTGCACGACGAGCACGTTCGTAATCCGGTTCACAACATCCGAGCGCGCACGCTCTGATGTTGTGAACCGGCCGACCGGTCGCGACGACGCCAGGGGACGCTCATTCGTGACGACTCCTTGCATTGCCTTGGACTAATAGCTACTCGGCCCTGTAAATGTTCAACGTTATTCATATTTTTGCTTTTGCTCCCTGCTGGCATAAACAAAAACGGTCAGTCCGTCTTCCTTTTTTCTCCAACTTGTGATGACCTCGACGGCCCAGCTGCGCTTGCAATTTCCTCGTTTTTGTAAGCGGCGTTCCCTGGACGTAGTCGCCGTGGCGGTGGGAATCTCCGCTCCATTTGGGGCACTGTGGCAGTGCAACTCGAACACATCGGAGAGCTATGCAGCGTGCCCCACAAAAAAACCACCCTACGCAGTAGACGCTGTGTGCACATCGCACGCGTCTGTTGAAGGCATCAACGGTCAACGCAGAGCAGTGTGGGTGGGGGCACTAGGGGGTGGAATTCTGAGATGTTGCACCATGCTCATGATCTGGTCCGAACCAGATTCTAATCGCCTTGCATCGTAGCACAGGGCAACACCACTTCCTGATTCCGACACACCGGCAGAGGATCTGTCGAGTACCAGTATGACACTTGGGGCCCTGGCAGAAAGCGCTTTCAGAGTCCTCGATACCTGCGACCCATGGAACATAGTGCTTGGTACACTCGAGACATTGTTTGCCCGGGGGGGAACTTTTTGAAATTAAACTAGCCCCAGCAGGGCAAGTGGTGCAGGCCCTCTGTGCAGCCGAGCTTACATCGACTTGATCCGCTGGGGCAGTGGTCCCCCTCGGCGCTGAGAGCTTTGCGTGTGACCCGACCCCTCAAGTGGATACACAGTGTAAAGCCTCGTCGATGGCTTTGGCCAGCATGGCCTTGCCCGACGGAGCTCCGCAGCAGACATTTGTCTGCTCAGACGGATTTGTTACGAGCGCAGGTCATGTTTATGTTTTACGCCACTGGAATTATTATTTTTGAATACACCTGATGAGAAATGTTTCCGAGAGGAAGTGTGTGCTGTCAACTTATTGTTTTTCTAATGAGGAACGTTACCCTTGTGTCATTTAGGAAAATACAAATGTTCCGTTTAGTTTGTTTTAGTTCCCATCACATCACAATTAGATGTAAGCTTTGCATCACTCAGTTTATTTCACAGCTGAACAACAAAAACAGCCGTCCACCATGTGAATACAACATGATGAATTTGCTTCACCACTTTACATAAGTGCCAGCATGCATGCTGAACATCGATTACACTGGTCAATATACAATCTGCTCACTTTCCACAAATGCATCTCCAAATGTTGACACCTGCATCGACACAGCGCCACCCAGCGGAACTGGGCTTGTGGTCTGTTGCATGAAATCTTAGTTTTTTTTTTTGCCAGAGTTTGTAAGTCATTGTGGACCGAGGGGACATTTCTGCAACTGTCCACAGGAATATAACTCTGGCCTGACGAGAGTTTGGTTCCCAGCCTTGCCTCTCACACAGCCACTGCTGGCATCGGCATGTGCGAGGATCGTTGTACGGATCACAACCTCCAAACGACTTTCGGTGACGTACGCCTGCAAAATATGACCAATGTGAAAGCCACAAGAACAAAATTACACACTTAAATAGTGCCCGCTATAAATAATACGCGCAGAATAGGAGCTGCATTCCTCTTGACAAATGCAGCTTACGCAAGAGCCAGAAAAATGGCAAGAGCACAGGCGAGGGTCCGGCAGTGGCACGATTTCACAAGGCGATCGCGATCGCACACCCGGTCTGGATCTCTGGGGCTTTGACCCTCGAGTGGCTCAGAAAATTGCGTTTATCCGGAAGGTGAGGGAAGGGGGAAGGTGAGGGAGGGGGGAGTGGTGTCTTCACGTCTTGATGGAGAAGGAGGTCCCGCAGGAGCAGCCGTGGTCGGCCTGCGGATTCCCCACGATGCGGAAGGTGGAGCGGATGAGCTCCTCGCTGAAGTCTATGGTGGCGCCCTTGAGTAGCTCCAGGGACTCGCGGTCGGCAACCACACGCGCGCCATTGCGCTCGAACAGGCTGCAGGCACACGTGCGTACGCGTGTGACTATGCAGCAGCAGAACGGGTAATCAGTCTGAGTTGTAGGGTCTGCGGTTTACAGCCTCGGGTTAAACACCAGATGGGGTGTAAGGGACGAGGGTTTATTATTAGCTTAACAATTATTTACCCAGGACAGCCTTGCGAGTCTCAAGACGCGGGTCTTGCGAGGTTTCGCAGTATGAGGCAACGATTGCTGTGCTTTAATAATTGAATAGTATTTGGGTAGGAGGTTAAAGGGATCTAGAATTGACTTTGACCACAGGTGGGCTTTGGAGGATCAGCGTTTGCGTTTATGCGAGATTCTCCAAGCTACATTGACAAATTGTTGCATTTGTGTTGTACGTGTTTGTTGTAATATTTTGTTCATGCTGTTTATGCACATGTTGGTGTTTGTGTGTTGAACTTCTTTTGCGCCGCGCGTAGCCAACCGTGCTAATCGGCGGTGCAGGGGAAGGACAACAGTAAACACAACAAGCTAAACACGTTGGACTCCTCCGGGTGGGGGGGGGGGGAGGTTACCGGTCCTCATCGTCGTTCATGCTCGTGTCCAGCACGAACTTGTACTGGAACCCGGAGCAGCCTCCGCCCTCCACCTGCACGCGGAGGAACTCGCCGCCGTCCGCGATGACGTGCAGCCTCTATGGGGGGCGGGATGGGGGGCGGGAGGGGGGACACAAACAAGCGTGGTGCAATTTGAGAATGGCCAATCACAGGTCGCCAAGCACGATTACCCAGAATTCTAAGCAGAGCTCAGCCTGATGTGCTTGTGTGAGTAACCAAACGTTGGTTTAATTACAATTGGAATTGTGTCCACTAATGAATTGCAATTACAACGTATTTGTAATGTTAGCTCGCAATGCTTCTGTGGTTGTAATTTGGCCCGGCAATCACCGCACGTGAAACAGGTGCTGCTGCTGTAGGCTGTTGTGGAGCTATTTCAAGGGCAGCAGAGGGCAGGGCAGCAAAATACATTGTTGACACTGCACGATGCTCCGACGTGGATGTGCCCCACCTTCAACCGGGTCCGACCAGCACGGTGCAGTATGACCAAGGAGACCCTCACCCAACATTAAGATTGACGAAATTACTGAACGTGTAACTGTCAAATCACTGCTCCACTCAGCGGTGGTGGTGACGTGTTGGCACAGTGGTGCATCTTCCAGCAATATGACCGACATCCCGTGATCCCCTGCCAGCGAGCGATGTGGTAACGTCACTGCCCCTTAGTGAATGGATGCGTACGACTGAGAGGGTGAGTTTAACACGTCGGCTTTTGCGACCCAATATCCATAATAAAGTTGTTTTTTAAGGTAAGATGCCGTGAATATAAATGCGTCGCTAAACCAGACAGCCAATAAGTAATACGGTCTGTCACGTACACAAAACGTGCCAATTAGCTGCTACTTCAGCACACCGGTGTGTTGGAGAGTGAACCCACGAGACAGCGCACACACCCTCCTCGCAATAGTAAATGTCATAGATTGGGAAGGGTGGTCGCTACTCCAGGCCACGTGGATGGTGAGAGATCACGGGAGCTGCCACCGGTGCTCACAATTGGAAGGGGAACCCGGCCAGGATTTGGGAACCCGGCCAGGATTTGGGAACCCGGCCAGGAGTTGGGGTCCGCAGGTCTGGTAGTACCTTGACGCAGCTGTCGCTGATGTGGAGGTAACCGCTCGTGTCGGCTGCGTCCTCCCCGACTTGGGCCGCGCAAGAACGACTCGGGGACCTCCCTGCCTCACCGGGGCCCCGCACCGTCCACCTGGTGAGGTGGAGACCCTGGGTGAGGAATACCTCACCGCCAATGCCCCCCCACCCCCAACTCACCACCACTGTTCGCCCTCCAAACCAGGCGCATGCTCGGGGTGACTTGGGTTGTTATCACAGCTCCCGAGTCGCTTCACCGCGTAGGGCAGATTAGGTAAAGAACAAGTGACATCAGTTGACGTGAGGGTGTCAAGTGGAGTTGGCGGGCATGATAAGCTGCGGCCCTTGCTACGTTGTGGGCAGCAGAGGGCATCTCAGCAAAAAAATCCATTGTTGCACCGTACTTTCTATGCTCCGCGTCTTCACCAATCCGCACTGACCAGCGTGGCCAGGTATGGCCAAGTAAACCCAAATGACGCCGGGGGAGGCGCTCATCCAGCAGTGGGTTTGGCAGATGTAGAAGTCGCTGCACGCGCCCAATGATTGCTAAACACGTCCCAAATCGACGGTAGAGAGACCTCTCGTTAATTTAACACGTAACAGGCTTTCGCGACCAATATTATTCATAATATAGGTTTTTGGGTCAGACCGCGTTATTTATAAATGTGTCGTAACCCTCCACCACCCGACACGGCCAAACAGTAAAAAATGTGTCACGTTTTTCAAAGGACAAAATAATTCACTTCTTTAGCCCACCGGTGTGTCCTTTGAAAAACACATTTTTTACTGTTTGGCCGTGTCGGGTGGTGGAGGGTTACGACACATTTATAAATAACGCGATCTGACCCAAAAACCTTTATTATAGACCTCTCGTTACCCAACGCGTGGAGGAGAGCGGTGGCGCAACGGTTAGGGCACTGCACTACGAACCCGGCGGACGATTCACGGCCACGGCTAACGTCAGTGGCGAGTGACATCCAAAGTCAAATCTACGCAACTCCCTAAGTCCAGAGGGGGTTGCAGCCGCCGTCTCACGACCTTCAAGCCGCACTGACCAGAGTGGCGAAGTATGGTCAAACGACCCCCGTGGCTGGCGGAGTAGGATACACGCCAGAGCCCCCCACCCACCCCCATCACGTCAGTCGCGATACAACAAGGAGACACGGGGGTCCGCGCTCACATGGCGAAAGTGGCGGCGATGATGATTGTTGTTGGCGATCACGATGATGTTTTAGAGTGGTGGGAGATGGTGGTGGTGGTGAGGATGATGGTGAGGATGATGGTGATGAGGATGATGGCGATTATGTTTTAGAGTGATGATGGTGGTGAGGATGATGGTGATGAGGATGATGTTGTTGTTGACGATCTGCATGGCAATTGCTGATGCTGGCGACCGGGTTTACGTTGGTGATGCTGTTGGTGATGTAAGCGATGATGATGATGTTGCCGATGTTAGTGATATTGATGTTGTTGTTAGTGATGATGATGTTGTTGGCGATGTTAGTGATGATGTTGTTGTTGGTGATGTTAGTGATGATGATGATGTTGTTGGTGATGTAAGCGATGATGATGTTGGTGACGGTGTTGGCGATGTTAGTGATGATGTTGTTGATGTTAGTGATTATGTTGTTGTTGATGTAAGCGATGTTGATGTTAGTGATGATGTTGTTGTTGTTGATGTGGGGCCTCCTCACCCGCCTGGCCTTGAGTGGAGGCCCCAGACCGCGCGTCCCAGCAACCGCCCAGCGCCTCGCACGGCCATCACCGCCATCTGCGCCGCGTCTACCGCCACCGGTGGCGGCAGTAGAGGCGGCGCGGCACGAAGCGAACACGCGGTAGACTCTACCGGTGGGGGGGGGGGGGCGATCTGCTGGAAGTGGTGGTGGCGGTGGCGGGTGGAAGTTCAGTTCAGTTTCATACTGGTAGGAACCTCCCTGGTTACACCAGCCCACAGGGGATAATTGTGTCCGTCCGTCGTGCAGGGAGGGGCTGGGTGGGGAGGGAGGGGCTGGGTGGGGAGGGGAGGGTGGGGAGGGGCTGGGTGGGGAGGGAGGGGCTGGGTGGGGAGGGGAGGGTGGAGAGGGGCTAGGTGGGGAGGGTGGGGCTGAGTGGGGGGTGGGAGGGGTGGGGCTGGGTGGGGAGGGGCTGGTCACCCCGTGGTGCCCTTATAAAATCAACGTTTAACCTACTCACGCCGGCTTGTGCCCGCCCTCACAGTCGGGCATATTTGCGGAATACACCACGCCGCCGTTGACCCTGGCCATTGATCTAGCAACCCAACGCTCCTACCAGCTCCCTCCGCAGGAATGTGTTTTATTAGGTGTCGCCCTGTGAGCCATTCTGTTCTTGAATCGGGTGCAACCGCAACAAAACAAAACCATGAACAAGAAACATCTTAAAGTGACTACGCGCAACATAAAAATCCAGGAAAAAACAGCAAAGTCTTCCAGAAAAAGCACCGTATATCAACGCTGTGTGCAAAAATCCCAGTGGGATGCAAGTCAAACAACAGCAACCATAACACAATTTTGATTAAAGTCATTAGTCTAACTCTGTACAACAACAAACAAATATGGCTAATTCAAAACGTTTTCGAAATCGCCAAAAGAAAGCTATAAAAACAACGTAACAGTGATCATCGGAACTGTGATTCAAATTTAACAATAAACTATATACATAACATGTACGACCAAACTTTGCAGCCATAAGCTGGCAGCAGTGCTGGTGGAGGAGGTGGTGGGTGGAAGTGCTTGTGGAGGAGGTGGTGGGTGGAAGTTCTGGTGGGTGGGAGTGGGTGGAGGTGCTTGTGGTGGTTGGGAGTGCTGGTGATTGGAAGTGCTGGTGGGTGGAAGTGCTGGTGGAGGAGGTGGTGGGTGGGAGTGGTGGTGCGTGGGAGTGGGTGGAAGTGCTTGTGGTGGTGGTTGGAAGTGCTGGTGGAAGAGGTGGTGGGTGAAGTGCTGGTGGAGGAGGTGGTGGGTGAGAGTGGTGGGTGGAAATCCTAGTGGAGGTGGTGGGTGGAGGTGCTGGTGAAGGTGGTGGGTGGAAGTGCTGGTGGAGATGGTGGGTGGAAGTGCACAGTAGGGGGCACATCTGCTGCAGCTGCCAGTCATTTCAGTCAACCCCATGGCACCTGGGTCTGTCCCATCACCTCGTGTCAGGAAGCCTTCGACACTTCACGTGGCCTCAAAGTGCACCTGGTCTGGCACAAGCGCCGTGGTGACATCACCGCCACTTGGTGGCGAAAGACGTGGTATTGCTATTGGTTGTAAGTGCTGGTTTGATGGAAGTGCTGGTGGAGGTCGTGGGTGGTCGAGGTGATTCCGGAGAACGGTGAGGTTCGGTTGAAACGAGCGCCCCCTACCGTTCCGGAGACCACGGTCCCATGGTGACTATCGTGGTCTGGGCACCCATGCCCCCAATTTCTATGTATGTTGAACTTTTTTCGTACCGTACGTAAAGATACAGATTTTCTTTTGCAGACACATAGACAAACTGTGCTTGGTAAACCAGGCAGGTTGATTGATGGTCCACCTCCTTATCACTCTTCTATCGCTACTATCCCGACTACTGTTACTGTGAACTTCAATCGATGATTCTTCCCATGTTGATGAGTCAGTCTACCAGACGACGACTGTTTTGTCTCATCGACCGCATTGCGTTCAACCACCACCAACACTGCAGGTCACAACAACAACAACAACACCCACCCGCCCACGCGTCCACACTGCGGATCACTTCATTCCTCTCTGTCTCTCTCTGCTTCTTCCCTCACACTGCTCCGCTACGGAATTCCCACCCTTCGTTTGCTCCATTCAAGGAACGTATGAAATTGAATCTATTACAACTCTGCTGCTTGTTGCTCACCGCCTGGCCTTTTGGGCATGTGCTCAGCAACCGCGAATTTAAAATGACACCACGCAACCACCGTCACCACCACCACCACCACCCTCAACCGCCACCCACCAACACAACCACCACACGCACTACCACACTCCAAACAAAAGACAAAGATTACCCTATAGCCTAAACACACTGTTGGGGGTGGGTGAGTGGCCAGGACTACGCCAGGCTGTCTATGTGTCCCCAGTGACGATGTTTCCACACCGCACCAGGTACTCATTTGAGGCTGAGTCGACCTAGCCGAGGCCCATGACCGGCTCAAATAATCGTCACTGGTGTTGGCCGTGAGCGGGATCCAAACTCTGGTGGCCGGGTTTGTAGCACAGCGTGCCAACCGCTCAACTACCGCTCCCCACACTCAACACTCCACCACATACCACCCACCACAGTCCTCCACCCACCACAATCGCCTGCAACCCCGGTGGCAATGGATCCCTTCCTCCCTCTCTCCCTCCTCCTCGTCGTCAGTAACTGACGGGGTCACCCCGTCTTAACCTAGGGGTCACCGCGCCGCGTTTCAAATGGGAATCGGATCCCGGGGTCAGGAGCCGGGCGCAGCCCCTCTGGGCCCCCCCAGATTCTCCACTCCCCATCATCCGGCTCGGAGCGCCTAAAGCTGCAGCCCTGGCGCCGTGGAGGAGCACGGGCTGTTGGATCACGCCAAGATTTGTGTCAAACCCCAAAACCTCGCTGTGGTTTCAAGTGGCCAGGCGATGGCAGTACAATAAGTGGACCCTTGAATACACCTGTGAGGAACTGCAGATGGAGGGGCGGGGGTTTTGAGCCCCGCGGAGGACATTGTAGTGATGGGTCTCCGAGTGATGGGACCAGTGCTCTGAAATGCCCCCAGCCCCTTCTCGTTACCCCTCCTGTGGAGCCCCGCGCCTGGGCATCCATCCGGCCCGAGGGCTCCGTGAAGCTGCACCGCCTGCACATTCGACATCTCTGCCAAAGGGTGATACCCTCGAGGCTAATACCCCCACCCCGCCTCAATGTGCTCTTATCTCTCTCCTCGCTGCGACCCGTCTCTCCCTGAGCGCTGCACAGCGTCAAGAACGCGGGTTCCAGAACGGGCGCCTCCTTCCCGCATTCCTCCATCATAGCCCAGCACGCACCGCTTAGCTCCAGTCACTTGCTCATTGGCGGGCAGTCGCATCCCTATCACTCTTCTATCGCTACTGCCATTCTTACTGTTCCCATGAACGTCACTCATTGATTAATCCTCCCGCGTTGATGACTCTCTCGCAGTGATCCACTCTGGAATTCCCTCCCATTGCTTCTTCAAATTCTTTAAATCGTGATCAATTCCAAAAACATTGACTCTGATTGAGTACACCTTCAATAGTGCTCTTTGTCGCTGACCGGGTGGCGTTCTGGGCCTCTAGGCTTGCGCTCAGCAACCGTGATTTTTGTTTTAAAGCAGTTACCTCCACCCTCTGCCACTGATTGGTCTCCCAGAGCGATGGCTTTAGCGAGAGTCGCCGTTAATCATCCCCAACCGCAGCCGCGTTCCCAGAGGCATGCGTCTCGCTCGGGTACCTCGGGAGGAATCGAACCTGGCAGGCTGGCTTCCTGGGGTCAGGGCGTGGGACCGCCCTGCATGGTTTAGTAGAGCTGCAGAGAGGACCTATACTTGGTAGAGAGGGTCGGGGAAGTGCAGCGCCCTTCATTATTGGGTAGAGATGGTCTCGGGGAGGAGCGCCCCGCAGGGTCCGATACAGAGCGTCAAGGTATAGGGGTGCCCTGTAGGATTGGGTAAAGAACCTAATATAACAGCGCCCTGCAAGTTTTGCTAGATGAAGTAGGGAGGACCGGAGTAGAATTGGACCAGCGCCCTGAATGATTGGCCAGAGGAGGCCTTCTGCGTGGAGCAGCGAGCGCCCTGCAGCATCGCGCAGGGAGGGACGCCTTGGATGACCCCGGCTGCGGGTGTATTGCCGGCGCGGGGCTGGTGGTGTGGCCGGTGCCCGCCCACGTGGTCGATGGGAGTCGAGCTCGCGCTCTGCTGAATGCCGGGTAATTAATAAATTAAAACGCTTGTTTATTGAATTTGCACTTCACAGTGGAACGGTTGAGCGGATCGCACAAGGGCGGCTCTGTGGAGGAACTCACGACCGTGGGGTGGGCAGGATGTCGAGCAGCGTCACACCTGAGCCACGTCTCACCTGGACGGGCCTCCGAGTCGCTGAGGCGGCACCTCTGAGGGCCTGGGTTCGTAGTCCAGGTGTATGGCTTCGCTAATACTGGTAGGAACCTCCTGGTTACACCAGTCCAGAGGGGATGATTGTATCTGTCCGTCCGTCGTGCAGGGAGGGGCTGGGTGGGGAGGGAGGGGCTGGGTGGGGAGGGGAGGGTGGGGAGGGGCTGGGTGGGGAGGGGAGGGGCTAGGTAGGGACGGTGGGGAGGGGCTGGGTGGGGAGAATGGGGAGGGGCTGGGTGGGGAGGGGCTGGTCACCCTATGGTGCCCTTATAAAACTCAACGTTTAACCTACTTACGCCGGCTTGTGCCCGCCCTCACAGTCGGCCATATTTGCGGAATACACCACGCCGCCGTTGACCCTGGCCATTGACCGAGCAACCCAACGTTCCTACCAGCTCCCTCCGCAGGAATGTGTTATCGGAAGGAAGAGCCGCAGAAGCGCATCTGAAAGCGCGCGATGTCAATGCCACTGCCCTGAGAGAGCAGATAGATCCTCTCTTCGTGCACGAAAAAGAGCCGTCGCCCGAAACGTCGCCTATTGTATGCAGCATCTGTGTTCGTTTCAGGGCAGAGCTATTGACCGGATTCTCACAAAGTCGCGAGCCCAGCTATTATTCATGGAATTCATGGCCAAATGTCCCAGTGTTACAGGACCATCCTGAATGAAGTGTCTTGAGATTTAGCGAGGCTCTAGCAGCACATAAAGGACATGGGCACGGTAGTTGTATTACTATTAGACGACGGTGTATGAGGGCTGCGTGGTGGTG